TTTTTAATAGTGTCAATATATCATGAGCATATCAATTTCTAGAAATCCTGGCATCTACGTCACAACATATGTAATAGAAAGTGAAAGGAAAAGAGTGTTTGGGTTCATGTGAAAAGTAAAGGTTTTCCTTTTTTTTATTCTTTTTGTCATAAAGGAAAAAGGAAAAGTAAACCCTCGTTTATTCTGGCGAAAATTAAGAAGTAACGGCTGTCTTTTTTTAATGCATTAAAAGAAAGGGGAGAGGTGACTAGCCCTAGTGACCATTTCCGGCCGTTACGATAAGAGTTACAATTACTTTGCACCACCTGTGACTTGAAAATCGGAGGTGGGGCAATCCCATTGCTGCAGCTCCACCAAATTGCTGATTGTCAGTAAGTCTCCTCGCATGAAGTATGTCGCAGTTAACGAGCTACTCACAAATTGTTCACATGAATCGTACCTGTAACCTCAAGGAAAATAGATGACCTAGTTATTACCAGACCAATCACCTCAGTGGTGTAAAGTGACAATCATCTACCGTGAGCTAAATCACTATCAAAAGTTCGAAGCACCGAAAAATCCTGGCATCTATTAAATACCAATCGAAAAATGAAAAATGTCCATACCAAAATTCATAATATGCTAAGAGGTTTCTAATATCTATCTTTCAGTTTTGTAATTCAAGAGCACGGACACAAAAGAAAAGGAACGAAATATATCAATCGGGCAACAATCTCCTTGGCCAGTTCGTTTCATCACTTGCCTCCACACCAGATTTGACTTCCCAAGATTTACACATTTTTAGACTGCAGAAGCTCATTAATTTGCTCCCCTGAATAAAGAACAGGGGTCCAGAATCTAGTCTAGAATTAGACCTAGACGAGCATTTATTCATGTACATTTTTCTACCAATCTTGTGAAGACAGTGGGCCACGCATGGTGATACACATTATGACGTCAGCAAGACCATAGCATATCCATGACAGAATTTAATATGGTCACATCAGGTATGCCTTTGATTTTTTGTCACCTTGTGAAGCATTTCGGACATCTCACCAACCCCTTCTCTTTGCTTTGCAAGCTCTCCAGCTCAAGCTTGGTTGATGCATGTCTTTGCCTTTTCTTGAATTTTTTTTTCTCTCTTTTTTTGGAGTGTATGGGAGCGTTTGGTGACGATATTAATTCAAATCCTTCCGCTCAATGATCAAGAAAAAGACAAAGCTTAGACATAATAAGGCTTGTTCACTAGCTTACCTAATACGTTTGCTTCTTCAATGACATGGACCCACCGACTTGAATAATCATTTGTAAGGTGCTATTGTTCATAAATCAGCTTCTGGAATCAGCTCCATCGCTTCGTTTTGGAGGTACACTCATTTCTCGGATTGGAAAATATGCTCAATTATTTGATTCTCCATAATTTTAGGAGGGGAAATGCATGTGGCGATTGGCTAGCAAATTAGGTCATCCAAGCCAACAATGCGGGCAATAATTATGTATTAGATAGACCATCGATAGGTTTGTTTCCTTTGTTATTAGGGGATCAAATTAAAATTATATTAGGAAATTAACGATGTAATTTTCGGGCCCTGCTCCTTCACTTACCCAAAAAAAAGAGAGCCAAAACTATCATTTGTCTCGCTTTTAATTTTTCAAGTTTACCCTATTATCAAATTTAATATCACTCGCTACTCTCTCTCATCACATCACCACTCAAATCACAAATATACTCAATTAGATATTGACATAATTCCTTTCAAAGAAAAATTCGTTTTGTCATATTCAAATCCCAAAAAACTTGAAACCTTGAAAGAAAGCCGGGAGAAAATAACTTTCAATCCCGCGTCTTTCATTTCACCTTTTTTTTTAATATAAAAGGTTGTCCGAATCAGTTTTCGCCCGTATCGATTGGTTTATCACGCCCCATTTTAATTTAATTCTCTCCTATTTTTTTCCTTTTAAAACACCAATCGAAGCCAGGACGAGGTCATGGTTTGGGCCAAAAAGCTGAAATTCAATTCAAACATTAAAAAAAAAAAAAGAACAACAATGGTGGGGAAGGTATCGTTTGTCCAGCCTTGACTAGCATGTCAAGTTGGTGCCATTAGCACGAAATTGATGGTCACCAACATAAAAATCTCCATGTCTAAGACAGCTAATAGTAGAGAAAAATAATAGAGCATGGTGGGTGATTAAATCACTAATCACTAATCAATTAGTGCGCATGGGTCTCACATCATATGCAAAGCCTTGACCCATACTATTCTGATTCCTATTGAATTCAAAATTAGGTGGTGAGGCAGACCACAAAGCACAAAGAATCCCAAACACGGCAACAGGGCAAAGCCAGCTTTGGACTTTGTGTGTTTGTGTGTGTGTGTGTGTGTGGCTGAAGAGCATATGTACTAATCAAAGCTGAAAGCTCCTCCTTCACGTGGAGCAGAAAAGCAAAACCATTATATAAACTTGTTCTAAGAATGACATAGTGAATAGATTAATGTATTGCTGTAATTAGAAAAGAAATCGGCGAAAACATGTCTCTCGAGAGCGACCGGATGATTTTTCAGCAACAATTTAAACCGACGGGGACGACGGGTCCGAGCCGTCCTTCGACATGCCCACAGGACGAATTCAAATACCGTGCTGAGTGTATTCAAAACAAATGCCAGAACAATTCGGTTCTTCAATGGAAAAGGATAGGAGGGTTGACGAGTCAACGTGGTCTAAGTCATAGAAATGCCCATTCTCTCCTGTTGAATTTGGAAAAATCCGGGTGTTTTGCTTGACGCGTTCCGTATTGAATCCGGCCAATTGGATTTAAAATAGTAAAAAAAAGGATCCATTTTAAAGAAAATTTATCGACATTTAAGAAAGTTTACCTAAGTAGGGGTGTAAATTTTCACAATTAGCGAAGGAAAGTCACGATAATCAAGGATTATTACTAATGAATAGGATTAACTTAAAAGAAACGCTCCCATCATTTACGTAAATTTACTAAGAATAGGACAAAAGAAATTTATAATAATTTTAGGTTGCTTGCTCGAAATTTGCTACCTCTAAAAGTAGATTGCTAATCATCATTTACATAGTAAATGATGATTATTAAGGTCAATTACTGTCGACCAAAAAAAAAGGGTCCATTACTGATTATAAGTTCGGTCTTTTACCACAATTTAAGGTACATCACTATATCATTGAGTAATTACTAAGTGATAGGAATTTCACATTACAAAATCTATAGCAAAATTACTATGTGAAAAGAGAGAGTATTGACTCTAGGTGCAGTCGAGATTACGAAAAATTCAGGTAAATTGCAATTTATTGGAGGTATAACCTATTGAGGAAAATTAAGATATGGTAGGATAATTTCTAAGGAATTCTATCCTCAAGTTGCGAAGTATGGAGGGCAATTACTATTAGTGATGAAAAATCAATCACCAAAATTATTAGAGTAAGTTTACTGAAGTGGGATAATTTATTAGTGGCAACATCCTCAAGTTACAAAGTATGAAATGATTCATCTTGCGAGATCTAGAGATTTCAATAATTTAATTTGATTATATTTAAATTAATTTTGATTCTAGGAGAACTTCACAAATTAATATCTTTCTTAGGCAGTAAATTGCTTCCTATCTATAATCCTCAAAATGAATAATTTACCTTCAAAATAGGAACATCTCTTTAGGAAAAATAATTTATCTTATAGAAAGTCGTAATTCAAACTAACAATTTACTTTAATAGTTGATTGAGTGAGCGTTCATTAATGATGATTGTAATTACACTTGCTCGTTTTATATTACTTACCAAAAACTAATTGTAGTGGCATACTTTATTGCATCGTAAATGCAAAATATTACCTTGGCCTTAATTCTTTTTTAATTGGTTCACTGTTTGCAAGTTATATTTTGTTTTTGTAAAATAGGTTTCAACGTCGTAAATTATTTTTAAAAAGTTTGTAAATACCGGTAAACGCGAAAATTATCTTAAAGATTGCAGATTATCTAACGTGATGGGGTCCCGTTTCTCTCATAAAACCGCCCCTCTTGATTTTCCGAAAAAAAGAAAAAGATTATCAACCTCTCAACTTGCCCATTTTTGCATGACCTAATCATATATTGATAACTTTCTATATATTATTAAATTTCAAAGTTTCACTTTTTTTTTTCTGAAATATATGTGGAGTAAATCATGCTTAATGAAACCCATTTGCTTTCCTGGTGGTCCAGTTCCGGCCTAGAGATCGAGAACCGGTGACATATTCAGTTTTTTTTTTTTTTTTTGATTTGTTGTTAACGTTCAAGATAAAATTGAAGATATTCTTGATAATCAATACGTTTCTACAATCAGTGATTTACGCGTAACATTATAAGTTTCATAGAAATTTTTCCAATCCGTGGCAAAATTTGGTTGAAACGAGCAACTATTATTGTGTTTTAATTTGTTATTGTCATCTTACTCGCATGCATAAAGAAACACAGTCACTCCAGCCATGAAAGGCCTTCCTTTGTGAAATGGGAGATAGATTAGGGTGTTTTTTTTTTATAAAGATTTTTAAGAAATAAAAAATTTTAAAAAAGGGTTTAGTCTAGGTGATCCGGGTGGGCGGTTCCACACCTCTCGAATCGGGCACCGGATTGAAATTTATCCGTTCCAATTTTATGGAACCGAGAACCGAATCGGTGCCCCTAGGAACCGCTCGGAACCGGCCAATCTGATCCAATTTGGGCGGTTCCTTTTGCTCATCCTTACTTCTTATTGTCAACATAGATGCAACAAAGAGCAGGTCAAATTACCATTACTCAAGCTTGAACCTCACTAAAAGATGCAGAGTCCATCACAGAGGCAGGCTACATTAGAAGGATGATCGATCCTTGCTTGGACTATGGGTTCATATGAGCTCCATGATCATAACTATCGACGAGCCGAACATCCGAAATAGATCCGTTACGGTATTACAATAAGTTGATCAACTGACCACCAACTCATATTCGAGGAACGAAGAACAAGTCCAAGATGCAAATCACAAGAATGGGATATGATTTTATTTGATCATCGACTGGATATGTGCATTGAATACATGATAGAACAAATTTGCGCGACCAGCACAGCACAATGAATCATAAGACTATGGACAGTTTTTGCAAGAAACAAGGATTTACACCAAATATCCTAATATTACCCCCCCACACTAAAGCCAGGAACCTACCCAGGGACAAAACCAACCAAAGGCACCCAGAGAAAAAATAGTTGCAATCAGAAGAAGAAAGTATCTGGACACAGGGATTGAATTTGAATGAGAAGTTGTACCGAAGTAGGAGGGCATCCTATACGGATTATTTATAAGTTAGGGCACGTACTCGTGCTCGAGGGCGGGTTGAGTCCTGGTTACCAAAGCTGCCGGGGCTGTCGTATCGCCGACCGGCGTCATCCTTAGAGCTTCCCCTGCATCTGCAGCTCTTTCCATTCGCTGAATGCTCCTCCTTTTCTTGTACCTTTGCATCCAAAAGACCAGCAATGCCAACAAAACCAACAATGCCAGTCCACCGAGCACGGAACCGGCAACCACCCAAGATCTGGAACTTTTCTTTTCTCGGCCACTCGGCCCGGGTGCGGGAGGAAAGGTCGGAGATGGAGAAGGGGCGATCGACTCAATCACTATCGAGAAGTGCCCCTGTTGCTTCGTTGAACAAGTATTTCCCGATTCTACATCGCTAAACCTGACCAAACCGCCCAAATCAAACCAAACACATCTTGGCACAGACCCTGCTGGAGCTGGTCTGATGCTGCTGAAGTGGACCAATAGAGGGTCACCGGAAGCATTGACATCCAACTCGGGCAAATTCGTGGCTGATAAATTGGATGCATTATAAGCAAGAAGACCCAAAACCGGAGCTAAATATGTATAATTAGGCAAAGGATAGTATACTATAGACCGATTGCCAAGGTTCTGGTAGACCAGAACTAGCCTCCTCACATATGGGCGCACGATAACCCCGGTTGGAATTTCAAACTCTTTGTACTTCTTAACACCTCTAGCCCTCAAGCTCCCACTTCTGAGCCTCATCGCCGTTATATTGATACCAGTCAAATTCGACGTAACATTTCCATCGTAAGGAATGCCAGTTCTCGGACGGATGAACGCCCTATAAGCATAGTCTTGAAGCATCGTATCCAAAGCCCTCGCAGAACTGAAATTCCCAGTAGAAACATTCTGGGCTCCGAGCTCCAGAGGTCGCAACAACCATAACTGAAGCACAAGCATCGCGAGACTTCGAAGAAGCCCCATCGATGCCTTCTGCTAGCAAAGATCAGCACCGCGCACTTTTCCGATCTCTATTCACCTCACGAACCCAGTAAAAAGGAAAGGCCCGCAAAACTCAATCAACTTCCCCAATACAACTAAATAGCTCAGAACTCAGATCCCCAAATGGGAAAATTGGCAAGCTTCAAGGGGTTTTTCAAGCACACATACCGCATACCGTCACTGGAATTCCACGACATTACTGAACCACACAGATTTCCGAAATGCACGACTGACAACACTCCGAACCGTAAAGAGAAACAAATGGATGGTGAGTAAGAAAAAGAGATTCCATATGGGCGGTACTCGATGTAAAGCAGCAGCCTTGAAGGTTTCAGCCGTTGCTCATATCACTTTTCTTTCCTTTTTCGGATCCTTGTAAAAGAAGCCAAAGCCCAAAAACACTCAGCGCCTTAATATTGTTTCCTAAAAAGAAACGATAGCCCCGTGATTCCCCCAGCATTACCATATAATCCTCACATTAAGAGCACTAATGCCTCCTCCTCCTGCTAGCTCTTCTCCAGTAACAGTCTTGCAAATCAAACCCGTGTGCGCAGAGACCCCAAAATCAATACAACATAATCAACTCACCCTGGCAAAAAAAAACTGAATCTTGAACTTACGCGGAGATGGGTCTTGATGGAGATCCTGTATTTCTTGATCAAGACTCTGGGAAACCCAATAATGGCGGAAAAGACTCGGTCCCGCCAGATTCTTGAAGCCGAACGAGGGAAGAATTTCCACACCCGCAATGCAACAAAGACGCACTCCCTGATCGAACCACACGGTCGGCGGTCGAATGGATTCTGGGATCCACTTTCTGTGTGTGTGTGTGAGAGAGAGAGAGAGACGCGAAATTTGTGTGATCCTGGTAGCGGAGGAAGAGGGGTACGATTCAGGGGGGCCTATCGTGCACGGGGGGCCGTCGTGGAAGGGAGAGTCAGAGAGGCAGAGCAATCGCATAGAGGGAAGAATCTCGAGCGGAGTCAAGGAGATAAGCTTCCCATGGCCTGGATGACGATGGCCAGTGGAGCAAGACTGGTGTGGGAGTGGGAACGACAGAAAGAGAGAGAGAGAGAGAGAGCGCAAAAGAAGAAGACAAATTCTTTTCTTTAAATATATAGATTGTAGGTGCTTGGTGTACCCCAGAGAAAGAGAGAGAGAGAGAGAGAGAGAGAGGGAGATTTACAGGCAATGCAAAGGCAATTCGATCAACCCTACAGACCCCAACTTTTACAATTTGCTGTTTCTTCTCTTTAGGCCTCTCACGTTTTCCCCCTTTTTCCCCATTTTGTTTCTTTTTGGCGGTGCTCGACTAGCAGACGAAACTGGTCTTAAAATCGGAAATTGTTTACCGTCTAGAGCTGCTTCCTTCCCATGCCTTAAAGGGATGTATCATCATCATCGTCCGTAAAGCACCTCCTACACGAAAGCGAGAGCTCTGCTCGAGCCGGCGTGGCAGGCCGGCGTTCGGGTTCGCGGAATAAAGACCGGAGACCGGGACTTCGTCCGCGAAAACGAGCGTTCCGATTTAGAGCAACCGTTCCGTTCTTTAGAGGAAGTGGGCAAATCCTTGCCGTGGGGGAAGGTATGTGTGTGGACATTGCTTTCCGTCCAAAAGAGCCAATATTTTAGTTCCTTTCAAGTGTACCCTTTTTTCTTCTCTCTTTCATACTTCTTTTTCACATTTGACGATTGACTTCAATGCCTTTTGAATTCCCACATAGTTTTCTCTCATCAGAATCAAACATAAAGAGTAGAAACATCAAATTCCATCAACTTCAAGGGCTTGGTCAAGCGATTTGGGTGTTGACCGAGGCCTGAATCATTACACCCGCGCAATCTCTTGGGTTCACCTCCAAGAGCACGGACCGTGTGTCGTGGTAATTACCCGGTGCCTATGTGACGGAGGACTGCTGTATCCATGGGGATTAGTCGAGTACTAAAAAGTTTCGAACATTCCGTTGACGTCCAGAAAAAAGGGAAATACCAATCTCTTTCCATTCCGTTTTCATTTCCTTTGTGCTTTTTTCCCTGCGGGGTATTAATAAATCCGTTTTAGGTCGTCTTTAAGGGTCATTGTAATTGCCAATGAGATGAAAAATCCTAAAAAAAAAAGGCCCGAAAAATAACATAGGCTATGACGGTAGAAACACATAACCGGCGAAGCACGTGTCGGGTGCCGGGGATAGCGAGACCCGCTCCTATAGGACTGCTCACAGAGAAGGCCGATGGTGACAGGTTGTGGTCGACGGCCGTGGACCGGATCGGCTGCGACAGGGAGACCGTGACGGACGGGGAGACCACTCGCGGAAGGCGGCGAAGCGGGGAGCGTGGGACGGCGAGGCTACTCTCGAGGTAACGGCCGAAGGAGGAGCGAACGGCGGGCGGCTGCAAAGGGACGGGACGGCGAATCGAGGACAATTGGCATAGGGGAGAATACATCCCACTCGGAACAGAGGTGGAGATTCGATGGTACAGCCATCATATGCCGCAGAAGGAGCGATAAAGGATAACGTCTGCTCGGCCCTTCTCGATCCGGATATGCAATATAAAATGTAGGATGGCTGGAATCAGCGACAACGATTTTCGATTAAAATTGGTCAGATGGACTTAATTGGCAAAATGTGAAAATGTTTAGAACTAACTTAACACAATCGAAAGGTTTAGGACTGAATTGACACAATTATAATAGATTTATGACGTTTTTGGTACATTTCCCATGACGGTATACATGCAATAACTATTATACGGTGTCCACTTTGGTGTCAAAATTTTGCAAACGATTATTAAAGTAACACAATTGCAAAGAGCGATCACTTAATTGACTTTAGCGATAAAGAATCTAACGTGGCTCACCAGAATCACTTAATGGGACACTTATAAAAGATTATGGCACTAAATTGATCGTTTATTAAGTATTGACTACTAAAGTGATTGTTTTTTAAGTTTTGACCCATAATATTTTACCATTTGTTTGTGTAACTTCTGCACCCTATAATGTAGTTTTTTTTTTGGTCGAAACCTATCATGTAGTTTTTTTTTATATGTCCTATTTTAACTCTCAACTCATTCTCAAACTTTTGCTCATCCTCTTTGCAGAGCATGAGAATCAAAACTTACATCTGAAACTAAACATCCATACCCCTAATCGAACTCCCCACCTTCCCCTTCCCAAGTAGTTGGATGCATCAATTTTTCACAAGTTGAGAAACTATGGTTAAATTGGTTCCCAAAAGTTTCCTAGGATTGATCCTCGCGGTTGATCAAAGGGATGTAGGCCCCGTTTGGTTCAGCTTTGGGAAGGGGCTTTCGGCCTCGAAAGCCCCTTCCCAAAATGCTGAACCGTTTGGTTCAGCTTTCCGAGTACGAAAAGCCGAAAGCCAGCATTTGGAATGCCGTTGGAATGCCGAAAGCCCAAAGCTGGTCCGGACCAGCTTTGGGCTTTCGGCATTCCACAAATGCTGAAGCCTATTTTTCCTTCCCAAATTGCCCTCACTCAAATTTCTTTATTCCGGTTCTGCTCCTGTTACTGTTCATCTTCTTCATCGCGATGGTGGCCGGCGAAGGGCCAGCGAGGGCAATCTAGCCGGCGAAGGGCCGGCGAGGGGCCGGCGAGGTCGCCCGACCCAGGCGACGGCCGCCTGGTGTTGGGCGGCCGCCCGGGCGCCGTCGCCGCTGGGTCGAGCCGCGCGACCTCGAGCGGCGGCCGCCCTGGTCGCGCGACCTCGGGCGATGGTCGCACAGGGTCACGCGACCCGAGGCGGCAATGGCACTGGGCGGTCGCTCGACACCGAGGCGGCCGTCGCACGGGTCGCACGACCTTAGGCGACGGCCGCACAGGGTCGCGCGACTCCGAGCGACGGCCGCTTGGTCGCGACCCGGGCCGGCGTCGCCGCCCGAGGTCGCGCGACCCAGCGACGGGGGCTGGGCGGTCGCCCGACCCGAGCGGCCGTCGCTGGGTCGGGCGACCTCGCCGGCCCTTTGCGGCCCCGATCGCCATCGCCGGCCTTCGCGGCCACCTCGCCGGCCACCATTGCCGGTGAAGAAGATGAACAGTAGTAGGTCCGAACAGTAGTCCGGACCAGTTTTGGGCTTTCGGCATTCCACAAATGCTGAAGCCTATTTTTCCTTCCCAAATTGCCCTCACTCAAATTTCTTTATTCCGGTTCTGCCCATGTTACTGTTCATCTTCTTCACCGCGGTGGTGGCCGGCGAAGGGCCGGCGAGGGCGATCTGGCCGGCGAAGGGCCGGCGAGGTCGCTCGACCCGGGCGGCCGCCGCTGGTGTCGAGCGACCGCCCGGGCGCCGTCGCTGGGTCGAGCAGCGCGACCTCGAGCAACGGCCGCCCGGGTCGCGCGACTCCGGGCGACGGCGCTGGGCGGTCGCCCGACCCCAGGCGGCCGTCGCCTGGGTCGGGCGACCTCGCCGGCCCTTTGCTGGCCAGATCCGCCATCGCCGGCCCTTCGCCTGCCACCCTCGCCGGCCACCATTGCCGGTGAAGAAGATGAACAGTAGTAGGGGCAAAACCGGAGAATTAAAAATAAAAATTGCCAAAATCCTTTGCAAAATTTTTTTTACCAAACACCACTTAGCCCAAAGTAGCTTCACAAATTTTTTTTTATCATACACCACTTACATTTTTCCAAGTGGCTTTCACCTAAAGGTATTTGCATTCCCCCAAGTTGCATTTGAAAAGCCGAACCAAACGGGCCATAGTCCATTTCCACAAAAGGCTCCAGGTGTTCAATCTTCAAACAGAGCAAGATCAAAGAAGAAATAAACGGGAAGTGAGGAGAGGCGAAGAAAACTTTACTTGCTTCCCTCCTTTTCTTTTGGAGGAAAACAAATAGATCTTTGTGATTTTAAATGAAATCATTTTGAGAGAATGTTTGCTCCATGATTTTGATTTTGAGTCTAATAAAACCAAGGATTATAGTGGTAAAGTTAAAATATTTGATTTGTGATTTTTTCTTTTGGCACATGTTGGCATTTTGTTAAATTTTAATTCATAATTTTTAAAGCAAAAGAATTTATAAATGATCAATTAGTGCCAAAACTCCATAAACAATAACTTCAAGGGGAAAAAGCCACATAAAATCTTAAATTATGTTTACTTTGACGCATTTACTGTGAATACCTCAAACTATACTCTTTGTAACACATTTACTCTAAACATTTTCTCGTGACATAAAAAATTTCAAACTTGTACCTATGTGACACATTTATCCTTTGTAAAAGTTCTGTTAGATAATCTTTCAGCCAAAACAATATCGCCGATCATGATCACCGTGCCAACACTGTTTGCTTTTTAGCGTTTATGCAGACAGATTTTTAATAATTTTTATTAACATAATTTTGACGAGATAAATAAAAAAAGAATGGGATAAATATGTCACGGTAGTTGGTAGATATAATTTAAGATTTTTGGTTCCTTTTACCAAATTTTGCGGCGAACTAAGACGGTAGAGTCGCCTTCCTCCTTACCAAAAGCAAGAGCTTCTTCAGTTTTCAGATTCACATCATCAGCTGATGATGGAGCGAACGTGTCTTCACGGTGCTTCCTCCATCTTCCGTCTTCTTCTTCGTGCTCCAGCTGCCATCTCCAGCCATTCATCATCCCATTCCCTTCTCTACCTCCCTTTCTCGGCTCGCCCTCGTCGGTGGTTTTGCTCGATGCCCACTTCTAATTTAGACGACCCGAACCAGTTCTTGTGTTACGTGAGGACAAATTGCAGAGCTGGTGGTGGTGGTGGTGGTGGTGGTGGGTTCACGAGGGTCGGCGACGCCTTGTGCTGCTTCGGTAAAATGATGAAGATGTACCCTTTGCCTTCTTCCGGGGATTTTAGTCCACTGTTGGGTGCTATAGCGAGGATGAAGCATTACTCGACTGCGACCCGGTTGATTGCGCAGCTGCGTTCTTTGGGGATCGAGGATGATGTTGCCTTGCTGACTATTTGGATGAATTGCTTTTGTCGGTTAAAGCGGGTTGATTTGGGTTTGTCTGTCCTGGGTAGGATCTTGAAGCTTGGGTTTCACTTCAATGTGGTGGCATCCAACACCCTTATTGATGGTCTCTTTATTCAGGGCAAAACTGATCAAGCACTGAGGTTCCTCGATGATATGGGGCGAAAAGGCCCCGAACCTAATGAGACCACGTATGCGATAATCGCAAAGGGGTTATGCAGGGCGGGTAGAACCAGACAGGCGATGGAATTGCTGAGGGACTGGGAAGAGAGAAGCTGCGGGCTTCATTCCTTCACATACAACATACTAATTGATAGTCTTTGCAAGGAGGGATTGATCACAGAGGCGTTGCGACTCCACGGCAGTATGAGTAAGAAAGGTATCCGACCAGATGTTGTTACTTTTAACTCCTTGATCCGTGGTCTGTGCACTGAAGGCCAGATGCAAGATGCTCTCGTATTGTTGAAAGAGATGACAAGCAGAGGCATCCAACCCGACATGTTCACTTATAGCTCGTTGATTCATTGCTTATGCAACCTAGGCCAATGGAAAGATGCTACGGTCTTGTTGGAGAAGATGATGAGGGCAGGAATAGAACCGAACATTGTTACTTATACCTCTGTCATTCAAGGAGTATGCAATTCCGGCCCATTGGAAGAGGCCCGACGACTGCTGAGTCATATGGTGCAAAGCAGAGTGATGCCGAATGTTCATACCTTCACTGTTCTGGTGGATGCACATTGTAAAGAAGGAATGCTTGTAGAGGCTGAGGCTATAGTCGACCAGATGATTCAATTAGGTAAAATGCCTGATAGTTTCACTTATAATACATTGATGAACGGCTATTGTCTGCAAAATCGAATGAATGATGCTATGGAAGTGCTTAATTTGATGGTTGAAAGAGGCTGCCCACCTGATGTTGTTAGTTATAGCACGTTGATTAACGGATACTGCAAAGCGAGAAGAGTTGACAAGTCAAAGATGCTTTTGCAAGAAATGCTTCAAAGGGGCTTCAATCCTAATGTCATCACGTACAACACTCTTGTAAAGGGATTTTGCCAGGTTGGGAACCTTGAAGCCGCGGAGGAGCTAATTAAGGAGATGCAATCTCGCGATCTCTGTCTAGATCATTATACCTTGAATGCTTTCCTGGATGGCTTGTGTAAAATGCTGCAGATTGACAAGGCCATGATATTGCTTCGAAAGATGGAAGATTCCAAATTCGTCCCAAATATTGTGACTTACAATATTCTAATAAATGGCATGTGTAATGCCGGAAAGCTCGACGATGCAAAAGAGTTGTTTGATTGTTTGCATGCTCGACGCTTGCAACCTGACGTGTGGATGCATAATATTTTCGTGCATGGATTGTGCAAAGGAGGACGCAAAGAGGAAGCGTATCAGCTGCTAAAGGAGATGGAAGGAAATGGATGCTTTCCAGATGATGTCACTTATAGCACAATCATCCAAAGACTGCTAAGAAATAACAAAAATACGAGAGCAGCGCAACTTGTCGGTGAAATGGTTGAAAGGGGTTTTTCTGCAGATGTATCGACGATGGAGTTGTGGGTTAAATATATCATGACAAATGGAACTTCTTCCTTTTCTATTTGAACTCTCCATTGTCTCTGAGATGTGTTCACATTTTCAGCTGAAATGTGATGAAGAGTAAACCAGATCAACGGCAAGTTTTCTTCCACACATCATCTCGTTGAGTCCCATTTACCATTAAAGAAGTAGTTTTCGGTCTGGGAGATTTTATCACTAGCTTCACATAAGGCTTTTGGAGGGGCAGCAGGTGGATTTTGTTTCTCGTATACCTAGGTTCTGTAAGGGATCTCTGTATTTAACTGGTACATGTACTCATCAGTTAGAGCTTCTTGTGTCTAATATTAATCAAACTGGTGAAATTTGTAAAAATGATCAAGCAGTGTGAGGATGCTCTTGAATTAAATAGATGTTAATTGCAAAAACTTTACTATGTACTAGAGTTATGCAATTCAGTCATTGGGCAGAAACAGCATGGAACTCTTCCTGAAAATGGAACTAAAGAAATTTCTTTTTTTTGGGGGCGGTCCTGACACAATCTGATCCTCGTGCTTTGAGAGAGAGAGACTAGTTTTCTTTTACACTCTTTTCCTAACACAATCTGATCCCTTCAATGTCCTATTTATCATAGTTACTTAAAAGAAGATGCAGACGTGGAAGTGGATGATATTTGATGATAGTGATGGGCACTTTAAATCAATAGCGGAGAATATTTGTGTCAAGCTGGGTACTCAAATTATCAAAGTAGGTTGATCACGTATTTGGGTTATTTGCTCTGCTTCTCACATGCAAATAATAGCCAAGTTTGAGGGATGGCTTCCTGACTAACGAACATGGGTGGATGTGTATGAAAACTACCTGCAGTATCTTTTCCTCTGCACTGCAAGGGATTTTCCGAAAAGCAGCTGCTGATGGGTGAAAATGGCTGCCATTGACAGACCATTCCAATGCCGAACCCCGTAGACATCTGGAGCAACACCAATCAACTTGATCACAGGCCCAGCTGATGTAACTTTCCATTGTCTTTTCTGTTGAATCGAATTACTTTCCTGATGAATAGGGTTGGCTCTCAATGGAGGAACATTCCATGCCATTTTTATCTGTTTTAAAACTGACTCAGGAACACATTTTATTCTGTTTTTGCGTGTTTCACTTAGACAGCAGGATTGGCCTGGACAGTCTGCCTCTCGTCACACCCTCTACTCTTTCTTTCCTGACACAGTCATAGTAAGGTGCAAGTGTTTTGGAGACCGGCCTTATGTTGATGGCAAAGGAGGACACAATATTCCTCTGCCAGATGCACTTTGGAGGCAAACTTGATGATGGCATTTGATCGTTTTAAGTGTATGTGATGCTTGATTCTCTGCTCTAAAGTAATTCTAAATTTGCAATACTTGGCTATGATTCATAGGGAATTCGTATACTTGAAGAAGGCATTGGTCATTGTCTATACCAACCTTGAAATTTTGAGGAATATTTCTGTTTGTTATACTCTCTGTAGCAATGTGACTCAAACGCTCTACAGCAAATTTGGCTTTAAATTTCGGGTTGTCCATGGGTAACAGACTCTTCACAAGAGATGAGCCACGAAAAAGGAATCAAGCTCATAAAAGTAATTGGTCTTCTGCGGAACATGTTATGATATGTGCTTTGAAGACCACTCTTTGTGCTAAGTTCACCAACATGATTAATGTGAACTCTGTGTCACTTTAAGATCAACAGTCCTATTGCAGTCGATAGAAATTTCTTCTTTTTGAAGATTTCAATTTCAATCATTTAAACATATTCCGCTCATTAAAAGCACGTGCAAAAAAAGGGAGAGAGAATGCATTGCATATAATGATCACACAGTTAACACACCATTAAACTAAAACATGATGACATAACCATAAACTTTAAGTAAATTTTATATTGCCAAGTTCTTTTTAAGTTTTCAGCTCCTCTATTTGATAACTTGACTGTAAAAGTTAAGACAAGGTAAATGGAAAGGATATGTAACTGATTACAAGATTATTCTTGAATTGTGAAGACGACACTATAGTTATGGAGTTCTTACACGATGTGCAGTATCTAATATCTTTCCAGATCTATTAATAAGTGCAATTGATTTCAAACTTTTGGTTTGATGTTTAGGGTCGTCCATGAATTTTTAATTGGTTCAATCAAGCATTAAATTATCTTTTAATGTTCAACATGATCATCGTTATTAAAAAATCAATCACTCGATTCAAATAATGGACAAGGAGTTGTGGGTTAAACATCTCTTGACAAATGGAACTTCATCGTTTTCTAGTTTTTTTTTTTTTTTTGGTCGAAATCCTTTTCTAGTTGAACTCTCTCAATTGCGTCGGAGATTTGAAATGTGATGAAGAGTTAACCAGATTAACGGCAAGTTTTCTTCCACACATGATCTCAATGAGTCCCATGTGCCATTTATAAAGTTGTTTTAAGTCTGGGAGATTCTTTCTCTTGCTTCATTATAATGCTTTTGGAGCGGTGGAAGGTAGATTTTGTTTCTCGTATAACTAGGTTCTGCAAGAAGTCTCTGTATTTAACTGGTACATGTACTCGTCGGTTAATGCTTCTGGTGCCAACTATTTATCAAAAAGGCGAAATTCAAACGAATGATGTGAGGATATTCTTGAATGAAGTAGATGTTAATAGCAATGACTTTGCTGTGTACTAAAGATACGTAATTCAGACATTATACACAAATATCATGGACTTCTTCCTCAAAATGTAACTAAAGAAAACAAATTCTCTTTTTTCGGGCTGTTATGATTGTGCTTTGAGAGAGAGAGAGAGAGAGACTGGTTTTCTTTTGTTTTCTTTTCCTAACACGATCTGATCCCTTCAATGTCATATTTACCATAGTTCTTCAAAGGAGATGCACAGGTGGAAGTGAATTATATTTGATCGTGGTGATGGGCACTTTGAATCAATAGCGGTGAATACTTGTGGCAGGCTGGGTACTCAGATTATCATCGCAGGTAGATTACATATTTGGGTTATTTGCTCTGCTTCTTACAGCGAAGTTCGAGGGACAGCTTGCTGACTAAGGAACATGGCTGCAATTGTATGGAAACAACTCGCAGTATCTTTTCCTTTGCACTGCGAGGGATTTTAAGAAAAGACTCTGCTGATGGGTGAACATGAACGCCGTTTACAAACATTCCCAATGCCAAACCAGGTAGACGTCTTGAGGGACATTAACCAACTTCATGCCATTCAGGCCCGGATGACGTAACTTTCCATTGTCATTTCCTCTGCATCATCTGGTTTACGTTCCTGATCAATAGGGTTGCCTCTCAATGGAGGCACGTTTCTTGCCATTTTTTTCTGTTTCAATTACTGATTCATGAACGCATTTTTCTGTTTGTATTTGCGTGTTTCACTTAAGGCAGCAGGATTGCCTGTACAGTGTGCCTCCTGTCACGCCCCTCTACTCTTTGTTTCCTCACATAAAATTAGGAGCATGGAAGCGTGTCAGAGACCGCTCTTCGAGCTAAGTGTTGAGAAAACTTCCTAATATGTTTTGAAGATCGACAAAACCTTCCATAGTATCTAATGAATCCGACATCAGGTGATATTCATGAAAAAACGATATTAATATTCTAGTTATTGTCATTAGGATATTGCGTCTGAAGTTCTGAGTATTTACTTCGTGGAAATCAAATATGTTAGGATATCATTGGAGTAATACAAGGATATCACCAAAGATTGCACATGGATATTGTCAAGACGTTTGGCAACTTCAAACTCTATGCGAAGACCATTTAGACTTAAGGAGTATTCAGACTCAGATAAGTATAATCTGATCGATGAGTCTATTCAGACTCAAAATACAACACGCACATATGGCAACAGCTAGTGATCTCGCTCGGATTTCTTTTATAGAAAATGATGATTGATCTTTCATCTTGAAGATTGATTTGCCAAGAACTTACTCAAAGCAAACATTGACAATCTTCCAAAGGCAAGATATTCTTTCCAAACAAAGAACTCTACTTATGGACCCGACTTTAGTTGTATGGGTGACTGAATCAATGAGATATTCTATTTTCAACTCTCCACGGAGACTGTTCAACAGCTAGATTGGAAGTGGAAAAGTATAAAATGAGATTTTGATACTGAAAAGAACAAGAAGTCGTGAATCTGAAATTCTAAAGTGCAAGAGAGCTTCTATTTTATGCACTTGTCTTATTGCACTTCAAAACTGTAATCTTTGAGGTGTAAAAAGAGTGACTTTGAGATTGTGAGATGAGTGGCTTTAAGATAGTGAAACCTATCAAGATTAAGTATTGTCACTCTTGTCTAGAACCTCTGATTGATTCACTGATGAAATCCAATCAGTAGGCTGTTTGTATGGAGAATGGACGTAGGCTTGTAATAAGCCGAACGACTAGAACTTTTATGTGCAATTTTCTCCATCTCTTAACTCTTTATTATGATCCTTGATAGTATATTGCACACATGTAAATCTGATTACAACATAATATTTCTTCAGACTTTGTCTTTAGGTTATATTAATCTTGACTGTTTTTATTCCGCTTTGAGTTGTCAAATTTGGTTACAATCACCTATTCACCCCCTTCTAAGTGATAGTGCTAGCTCCAACGCTAAGTTCATGTGTAGGGCCGATATGATCGATTGAACTCATAAAAAGGAACCTGTCGAGCCAAAGGATCAAATGGAAGTTCTGCATTTATGTCAAGAGGATCAACTCCTGAGCTGTCTCTGTTGTCCATTTCCTTGTTTACAAAAGAAGGTCTATGGGCTTAGCCACCGAAGCAAAGCCACTTTTTTGCTATGATGGTTTTAATTGCAATTTTTGACATTTTTCCCTGACTAAAACCATGTACTAGTGCATCACGCTTGAGTTTCAAAAGAAACTTTATGATTTCTTCTGCTCGAAATCCAGTGATATTTGTCGTGAGCGTTGTGTATCCAACTACTAGATCGAGATGCATAAGCATTCTTCTAGCCAAGCGATTGCGAGCTAGAAGACAATGAATAGTAAGCTTGAAAACGGCGTCGTTTCATTGAAAATAGTCCACGTCATGTTGTTGTCGTTACGTAGCACGTCTGGCGATTATTCGATTGCCACGTTAGATATATCATACGAGACTTGGATGAGAGGACTTGATTGCATTTTCTCTCAAAAGTTTAGGACTACATTGTTTCAATTGGATTGTTTATGACTATTGATTTTTGTACCATAGGTTTAGGACTAATTGTGAAATTTTCCTATACAAAATGCCCGTGCGGTGTGGTGTGTTGTGATGGAGCTAGTAGTATCACGTAGGGGGGTTGAATAGGTGATTTCAATTAATCTTGAAAAATTTAAAGTGGAAGTAAAGTAGTCAAAATTAGAGTCTGAACAACAATAGTAGTATGATGATATTGATAAGTGAGTAAAGGCTAGACTCTGAATATGGACAGAAGTTCAATGCAATTTAGTAGTGCGCAAATGTATATAAAAATATCAACAAGAGTTCTAGGATAGGAGAATTTGCACACGAAATTTATAGCGGTTCGGCTTAGAGTAAGCCTACCTCCACTCTCCCACGTTGGCTGGATTTCACTAATTGATCAATAAGATGTTACAAAGTTTGAGTGTTCACTTCTCAAATGTGAGTGATTAATCTCTCTAACTTATACAATTACTCTTATAATGCTTCTCAAAGATTACAATTTTAGCTCACGAAAGACAAGTATAGAGTTCTCTTGCTTTGGAATTTTCCATTCTTGATCTCGTCTCTTTTTTCTCCTTGGCACCTTGGTATCGTTTTATACTCCTCCATTTCCAATCTACCAATTGGACAGAATTGTATAAAGAAGATTGAGTAGCCATTGAGAGACAAAATATGAATTTGCGTTGATTCTGGTCGCCCATACAACCAAAGTCTCAAATTTCCATAAGTAGAGTTCTTCAATTTACGAATGTTACTTATGTCGAGATTGGTTGCCAACCAATCAAGATGTTTTTGCATATTAAACCGTTGCAAAACAATCTCCAAGAATGAGAGTCAATTAATTAAGAAGGAAATCCGAGCCAGATCACTAGCTGTTATGAGTCTTGGATTTGCGTCTGAATAGGATCATAAGTAGTTTCCAGAGTTTGAAGTTTATCTTCAGTGTAAAGTCTGAATATATTTCGCCTTCATCAGGTTTTATAATTTGATGATGCTCAGCTTATGGTGATAGAGTCTGAATATGCTTGATGATATCCATGCATAAATCTTTCGATATCTATTTATTGCTTGATGATGTCCATACAATGACTTTGATGACATCCATGAAGTAACTGTCCTTAAAACAAGCTATCATGGGTTCAAAATAGGAGCTGGTTGGATATAAGAGAAAAATGTCTTTTATTTGCACTCAAGAAGCTTTGATCTAAAGTAAGGAAAGAGAAGGAGAGGAAGCAGAAAGGACATAACTTTTATTTCTCCAGGAACTGTATGCCCTATCTTGATTGAAACAATATTACACGCGAGAGTAAACTCGAATTTCAGCAGATGAAGTGGGGTTAATTGGCTATGGCAACTTGGATGTTGTCCAGATTGTGATTGCGTCTTTTTTTACCACGGGTAATACGTGCATCGATGAGATAATCTATGAGTCATGAAAGGTACGATTCTGGTAACCCCAAAACCTAATAGGATTAGATCGACCAGTTTAATCGATTGGACATGGATTCGGACCGGTTTTTCTCAATCACCCGGTTTGGTCAAGATACAGTCAAAACTGGTGTTGACCCTGTCATCAATTTGACCTGACCTTTTGAGTTTGTAAGAAGAATTTTTAGGGATGACGTAGCTCTTGGAAGTGCGAAGGGTTCATTCCGTGCGCTGGGCAGTCATGTTTATCTGCAGAGGCTTGTCCAATATATAAGATTTATTTGTTTTTTCAAACTTGTTGATCCGACGGTTTAATGGGTCAAATGATTGATGGAAGTCAAATCGGTTATTTGATCAGTCTTAGGGTCCGTTTATTTCACGAAAAAATTACAATTTAAAAAATATTTTCCTATACATAATTATTTCTATTGCTTCAAAAAATATATGAACGAAAAATATTTTCGTTGTCCACGATAAATTTTAGGCATAATTTATTGTCGATAACAAAAGCATTTTTTGCTGGCTAATTCTTTTAAGTGATGTAACCGATCATTTTTTAGGAAAATATTTTTCAAATCATTTATTTTTCTCTAAACGAACGGATCCTTAGTTTAAAAATATTGACTTTTATGTCTTTCTCAAGAGGAAAGTATATAAAAGATAATAGTGATGTTTCGAATGGTCAAAGTTGCAATATGTTAAAAAGTTAATGAAGAAGATGAGGAGCGATTTCTCTCATTTTCATTCTGCTGAAGTTTTAGCTACTCTATTTGATTACTTGACCGTACATTTTAAGAAAAGGTAAATGGAAAGGATATGTAATCGCTAATAGGATTATTCTTGGATTTGTGACAACGACCCTATTAGCTCCCGAATTTTTGTTCGACATACAATATATCAATCAGAATTTTTAATTAGTGTAATTAGGTTTTTCAACTTCGTCTAATAATATACGAAGTCATCCGTTGTTATGAAAAAAAGCTTCCGAAATTAGTAAAGAGCCACTCATTCAATGCATCATCTTCTCTCTTAAACTTTCAATCGGATCACGTTACGTAGGGGTGATCGGTTCTTGGTCTGGTGCGGTCCAATTTCAAGTTGGAACCGAGAACCGGGGACCGGACCTGACCACCAGTCCGGTCCAATTCCAGTTCGGTCCAATGAAACCAGTCACTTTTTTATTTTTTTCCCACCACAACAAGAGAGAGGGACAAATCTCAATATATTGATGGAAGCAACGATGAGTGAAGAATCATTATGGTGCGGCAATAAGGGGAAAGCGTTGTTCGTGAGTTTAGTTCACATTTTACTAATTTTTTTTAAGAAATAAAAAATAAAAAAACGTTTATGTAGCCGGTCCGGTTCGGTCGATCTGGTCCGGTCAGGTCGGTCCGGTCCGATCCGGTTCTCTCTTGGAACCGAGAACCAGAGCACCCGAACAATGATTCCACTTTTAGGAATCAGGAATCGGACCGACACTCTCGGGAACCGGACCAAATCAGCATGTCTGGTTTGGTCCGGGCGATTCTCGATTCGGACGGTTTCTGATCTGGACGGTCCGTTTTGCACACCCTAACATTACGTTGAGAATAAAGGGTCGAATGATAGGTTTCCATACTTGTTATTAATGGCTTTCGTTATTCTTCTTGTCTTTTGCGGGACAAACTTAAATCACTTTCGAATAGAGTCGAGTGAATGAGAATTTCTGTTTAGAGGGATTGAGTAAAGAAAAGGTTGCCTGTTCTCAATAAATAGTTTTAAGGAACGCGTATTGATTTTTTCAATTTCAATTATGTATTGCATGTATAAATTTGTTTTTCCAATCCAATATTAGTTATTTGGATTGGTGTCCATGTTAGTATATATGATTAACGCTTATTAATGCGAGGATATTGTTGAATGTTTAAAAATTGTTCAAGCACTTAATTAAACTGATGGAAAAGTACAAGTACTACGTTGCATATAATATAAAAGCTCATGGGCTAAATTGCGTATTACATCCAATTTAATTGAATTTCATACATCTCCACTTTATTTTTGTATTCATCAATATGACTTGGAGGTTTCTACAAAATATATATATATAACTTGAAAGTAGACCTGTCAAAAATAAATGGGTCATACTTGTGTTAGTTCAATTTTGAAGAGCCTACCTTAAGTGTGTTTTAAAATACAAAGCCTAAACTAAATGGGTTTAAATGGGTTGAGTATAAAACCCATTTAAACCCATTTAAGCCTTGTCAGATCCGGTGAGCTAGGAGAGGCTCGCCTTGCCCGAGGTCGCTAGACATCCGTAATATTTTCCACAAATAAACGGAAAATTAATTTAAAGCATTTTTCACAAATGTAATATTTTTCGCGAAACGAATGTAGCCTAAGTAAAAGTTGATGATTTTTTATGAGACAAAAATAGTTAGGTCCATAATTGTCACTCAATTTAAAATTTATTCTTTTTCTTGAAAAGAAATTAGATTTTTTATGACTAAAAAATTAATTTATTATAAATTTGTTATAGGCGTACCGATTTGGGTTTTTCGTGGTACGAATCCCAAGTCCAAAGCTATTCAGCTTTCGGATTCGTCGTCATCAGCTGAGATGAAGCGAACGGGTCTCTCCCCTGCTTCTTCCATCTTACTTCTTCTTCTTCTTCGTTCTGCTCCAACTGCCATCTCCAGCCAGTCGTCATCCCATTCCCTTCTCCATCTCCCTTTCTCGTCTCGCCCTCGTCGGAGGTTTTCTTCGACCCCTAACCCTAACCCGAACCAGTTCTTGAGTTACGTGAGGACAAATTGCAGAGCTGGCGTTGGTGGTGGGTTCACGAGCGTCGGTGATGCCCTGTGTTGCTTCGGTAACATGATGAAGACGTACCCTCTGCCTTCTTCCAGCGATTTTAGTCTAGTGTTGGGTGCTATAGCGAGGATGAAGCACTACTCCACTGCCATCCGGTTGATTGAGCAGCTGCATTCGTTTGGGATTGAAGATAATCATTTTTGGCTGACGATTTCGTTGAATTGCTTTTGTCGGTTACATCGGGTTGATCTGGGTTTGTCTGTCATGGGTCGGATATTGAAGCTTGGGTTTCACATTGATGTGGTGGCATCCAACACCCTAATTGATGGTCTCTTTATTCAGGGCAAAACTGATCAAGCACTGAGGTTCCTCGATGATATGGGACGAAAAGGCCCCGAACCCAATGAGACCACGTATGCGATAATCGCGAAGGGGTTATGCAGGGCAGGTAACATTAGATTGGCGATTGAATTGCTTAAGGGCTGGGAAGAGAGAAGCTGCGGGCTTCATTCCTTCACATACAACATAGTAATAGATAGTCTTTGCAAGGAGGGATTAATCACAGAGGCGTTGCGACTCCATCAAAGTATGCGTAGGAAAGGGATCAAACCAAATGTTGTTACTTATAACTCCTTGATCCATGGTCTGTACAATGTAGGCCAGATGGAAGATGCTCTCGAATTGTTGAAAGAGATGACGAGCAGAGGCATCCAACCGGACATATTCACTTATAACTCCTTGATTCATTGCTTATGCAACCTAGGCCAATGGAAAGATGCTACCGTCTTGTTGGAGAGGATGATGAAGGCAGGAATTGAACCGGATGTGGTTACTTATAGCTCCGTCATTCAGGGAGTGTGCAATTCCGGCCAATTGAAAGAGGCTCAAAGACTGCTGAGTCATATGGTGCAAAGCAGAGTAATGCCGAATGTTCAAACCTTCACTATCCTGGTGGATGCACATTGTAAAGAGGGAATGCTTGTAGAGGCAGAGGCCATAGTGGACCAGATGATTCAATTAGGTGTAGTGCCTTCTAATTTCACTTATACTACACTGATGAATGGTTATTGTCTGCAAAATAGAATGAAAGATGCTATGGAAGTGCTTAATTTGATGGTTGAAAGAGGCTGCTCACCTGATGTCGTTAGTTATAACACGTTGATTAACGGATACTGCAAAGTTAGAAGAGTTGACAAATCGAAGATGCTTTTCCAAGAAATGCTTCAAAGGGGCTTGGTTCCTGATGTCATATCGTACAGCACTCTCGTAAATGGATTTTCCCAGGTTGGGAACCTTCAAGCCGCGGAGGAGCTAATTAACGAGATGCAATCTCGTGATCTATCTCTAGATCAGTATACCCTGAATACTTTCCTGGATGACTTGTGTAAAATGCGGCAGATTGACAAGGCCACGACATTGCTTCGAAAGATGGAAGATTCCAAATTCGTCCCAGACATTGTGACTTACAATATTCTAATAAATGGCATGTGTAATGCTGGAAAGCTCGAAGATGCAAAAGCGCTGTTTGATTGTTTGCATGCTCGAGGGTTGCAACCTAACGTGCGGACATATAATATTTTCATGCATGGACTGTGCAAAGGAGGACGCATGGAGGAAGCATATCAGCTGCTAAAGGAGATGGAAGGAAACGGATGCCTTCCAAATGTTGTCACTTATAACACAATCATCCAAGGACTACTAAGAAATAATGAAAACACGAGAGCAGGGCAACTCGTCGGTGAAATGGTTGAAAGGGGATTTTCTGCAATTGTAGCGACAATGAAGTTGTGGGTTAAACATCTTGGGACAAATGGAACTTCTTCCTCTTCTAGTTGAACTCTCCATTGTCTCTGGGATCTGTCCACTTTTTCATCTGAACTGCGATGAGCAGTAATCCAGATTGAAGGCAAGTTTTATTCCACACATCACCTCCGTGAGTCGCTTGTCCCATTGATTAAGTTGTTTTAAGTCTGGGAGATTTTTTTGCTTGCTTCATTGTTAGGCATTTGGAGGAGCGTAAGGTGGATTTTGTTTCTCATATACCTTGCTTCTGTAAGAAATCTCTGTATTCTAACTGGTACATGTACTAATCAGTTAGTGCTTTTGGTGCCTAATGTTTATCAAACGAGTGAAATTCATACAAATTATCAAGCGGTGTGAGGATGCTCTTGATTCGTATAAGATGTTAATAGCAATAACTTTACTACTATGTACTAAAGTTACGCAATTCAGACATGGAACTCTTGCTCAGTATGGAACTAAAGACAACAATGTTTTCTTTGGGGCGGTCAACAAATTGTGTCATAAATCCGTGATTAGGCTGTTATGTATGCGCCTTGAGAGAGAGAGAGATTCTAGTTTTCTTGTATACTCTTTTCCTAACACAATCTGTTCCCTTCGATGTCCTATTTACCAATAGGAGTGGATGGTGTTTGATCATGGTGATGGTCTCTTTGAATCGATAGCAGAGAATATTTCTGGGCCAGCTGGTACTCAGATTATCATTGCCGGGCGATCACGTATTTGGGTTATTTGCTCTGCTTCTTACATGCAAATAACGGCCGATTTTGAGGGATGGCTTGCTGACTTTGGAGCATGGCTGCAAGTGTATGAAAGCTACTTGCAGTACCTTTTTTACTTTGCACTGCGAGCGATTTTCGGAAAAGCATCTGCTGGTGGGGGAACACAAACGTCGTGGATGGACATTGCAAATGCTAGACCCGTAGACATCTGGAGCCACACCATTCAACTTCATCAAAGTCAGGTCTGGATGATTAGCTTTCGTTGTCTTCTCCGCTGCATCAATTGAATTACTTTCCTGATCAATTGGGTTGGCTCTCCACGGAGCTACATTTATCTGTTTGAATTACTGACTCAGGAACACATTTTCCTGTTTGTTTTTGCGTGTTTCACTTACGACAGCAGGATTTGCCTCGACGGTCTGCTGCCTCTCGTCGCGCTCTCTACTCTTTGTTTCCCAGCACAATCATAATAGCGTGCAAGCATTTCGGAGAGCGCTCTTTCAGCTAACTTCACACGTGGATATTGTGGCTGGCATGTTCAATTGAACTTAGAACAAGGAACCTGTCAAGCAAAAGGGTCAAATTGGAGTTCTGCATATATAACATGAGGATCAACTCCTCAGCTCTCTCTGTAGTCCATTTCCTGAAACGTAGAATCTTCATGTAGCAAAATTTTTCATGTATCCATATTGATGTCATTCTCTAAATTATGCAACAAACTGTCAAAAATTGAAGGTAACATACCAACGTCGAGTTGTTTTCCATTTATGTCAACTATATTTATGCATTCTTAAGTGTTGGAACATGCATATAACATGGTTATTCAATTTTGGACATCCAGATTTAACTCTCGAGCAGACTAATATTTCCTTTTGACATTTAAGTCAAGTCAGATCAGCTAAAGGTCGAGCTTGAGAGACAACTTATCAAGTCAGAACTTGAGATATGTATAAGCGATCTTCGCTCCGAGTTGTAAATTACATCAACTCACCTCAAACCGATCCTTCTCCTAGTCAGATATCTAGATCAACTAGAGGCCTGGAAACCTTCAAACTTTGCAAGAGTTCAGAGTGCAATCTTTAAGAGAACATCATTTACAAAATTAGCTTAGCTTTACGCTCTAGGCCATCAACGAAGGAATACAAACAAACACCAAGACATTATTGTAAGAGCAAAACCAAACAGCTCGCGTTACACAGTCACAAACCCAATGAATAGCTTAATGCAAGCAAGCATATGGTCTACTCCCGACCCCCTTTTACCTTCCAGATGAAAAACCACAATGGAAGAAAAAGAAGAAAAAGAATTAAGACAAATCGACATTCGCCAGATCTTGTAAATAAAATAGGGACTCAAAAACTTAGGCGGAAGCTGTTGTTGGTCTTCTATCACCTTCTTCGTTTGTAACCGAGTCATCTAAGTTCTCGATGACTTCTTCCTCAATGCCATCGTCGTCCTCTTCTTCCACGGCCGGGAGATTAAAAATCTCGCCTTTTGTGGGCGCAGGTGTCTCAGTTGGTGAGGTTGGTGATTTTGGTGAAGTTGGGGAAAGTGAGAGCATGCTAGCAACTGAGGGGTAACCGATGGGATAAACTTCTGCGACCTCTTCAATCCCCTCATCTATATAAACCACATCTTGCATGGTGAGCTGGTGATACTCAACAATTTCCCTCAAAAAGCGGTTCTCACGTGAATACGTTTCATTCTCATTGGCCAAACGAGCTTTCTCCGCTAGAAGTGTCTCAAGTTGAAGGCGTATCTGAGAAATATATTGCTTTTATTTGTGAGAAGCTTAACCATTGTGGTTCTTGGGTCGGATAATAACTTGCAACTAATAGCAAATTGGGAAATAGTTACATGTAGGTAATGATGCAATTGAAGCTGAGTAGGAGGTGGGCCTAAAATGCCTAACAATATGCAAAGAGTTACAGTGCATGAGAGCACAGACTCGTGCATGGTGAATATTTGTGTCTTTGAATGCACGCGAGAGAGAGAGAGAGAGAGAGAGAGAGAGAGAGAGAGAGAGAGAACCATATCGTCATCTGCAGGATTACCCCCCTTCTCCCGGCTTTCTCGAAGGCTCTTGTTTTCTTCTTCAAGCTGAGAACATCGCAACTTTGAAAAAGCCAAATCTGCTTTAACAGTTTTTAGCTCACGTAGAAGAAGTTTCGCTTTTGCAGCTGTTGCCATCGCAACCTGTGACCGAACAACAATTAGCAGCTAGTAGATGTAAGAAACTGGATCCGCAAGAAAATTGAGAGAAAGAAAAGCACCTCCTACAGTATAAAATTGATGCTGAAAGTAATCTAGTAACCTTGTCAATATTTCAAATGCATAATCAGGAAAAAAAACTAGATGGACATTCAGGTGCTGGCCTGCCAAATTATGTGAAATACAATGACTCATTTGGATTAATATTCGGTCTGTGTATCATGACCGGGAACTTCTATTGTATAACCGTTGTACGATACAACATTATGACATGCTGTCATAACCAAGTAAAAATGTCGTAAAACATCCCAAAACGCGAGTTTTTTTTCTTGTTTTACAACATTTCAGAGTGTGGTTGTAATCAAGTGCAAAAGTTGTCATGAAATAAAAAACTTTATACTGTACAATGGTTGTACCGTAGACACTCCCTATCATGACCCCAAGATTGAGTAAGGTAATGTATGAGAATAACTTATTCCTAATAAAAAATGCCTTGCATGAGAGGATAGTCCTTGTTATAGAGCAGCATGCACGTGCGAGTAATGTTTTACCATCGAATTGCACAAGTCGAATTTCGCAATTTTGAGGCATTCAATACTTAGCCATTCATACACTACAAGGGTGCCACCTTACGTCGCGAGATGCCTTGAGTTGAGTTTCATGGTTGGTTGGGTTCTGCTGTTGGATTGGCTGCTGCCAGGAACTATTCATGCCGGGGTTTTGATTCTGCACCTCCAGGTTACTCCCTTTCCTTCTAATTTGCAGTTTGCGGGTTTCTTGAATAATATCTGCAGTCTTATTTTCCACAATAGTCCGACCTTCCTGTACATATTTGAGAAGTTTATGAGCATTTAATTTCTAGTATGGCAAGGGAATGCCATAATCATTTCAAGGCATTAGTAACACTAGTCCATCAAAGACAGCACAGTTAAATGTGGAGAAGGAAATTGAGCACAGGGCAACATTTTACTCCAATATCTTTATGACTCAAGTTCTAATCTTGCATTAATCAATACATAGCAGAAAACAGCATTAGTCTAAACAGGAATTGACATAGTCATTAACATCTATTTAATCTGAGTGAAAACTGATTGTCAATACAATGAAAGAAGAATATGTTCTTAGCAGTCATGTGTTAGCTAAGCTCACAGATAAAACAATCTGTGACCACTGCTCCTATCAATATTGGAGGCACATCAACATGTCAAGCGGCTGAATCATAACTGATATCACTATTCAATTCAACCAATTAATGAGAGGCCATGAGGGTATGCGCATGTCAAGATGGTGCCAATCAACATGTATACAGAGGCAAGAGCAGCAGAAGAAACATTTTACAAAATGAGCAGTATTGCTTGGCTTACAAAACAACGATGCAAGGGTGGTATATTACTATATTCCCAAAGTCCTCATAAAAAATGACAGAATATGCATTGGTATTAACAATGCTGAAATAGAAAACATAATTTAGTTTGAAACGATGACATTAAAAAGCTTCCCTGATGTCACCCACAGTAGCAGACGAACTAAATTATTATGCTCTAGCTGGGGAACATGAGTTCCAGACAGACTACTAAATAATTCCGAGAGAACCCTGGAGAGGTTATCTCAAACATTCAAAGCCCATAGATCTGGCAATGCTATTGCAATCTCTGGTATTAAACAGTGTTTTGAAGTGATTGTTTCGAAAGAAAAGATTATTTTTGTCCAAATTTTCTGTAAATTGATGTACGATAGATTTCTAAATCTTGGCTAAAGCCTTGTTGTGATGAGCATGCATAAGGTGATGGAAAAGGAGGACACAATATTGCTCGCACATGACCTGGTAAGATACCAATAGGCAAGGAAATAACTCTCGCAGATGCACTTTGAAGGCAAGCTTGATGACAGCATTTGATCATTTTATTTGTATGTTATGCTTGATTTTATGCTCCAAAAGCATTATTAGATTTCCAATACTTGGCAATGATTCATGTGGAATTTGTATGCTTGATGAAGGCAATGATCATTGTTTATACCATCCATGGTAATTTGGGGAATATACATCTGTTTATACTCTGGCAAAGTGACACAGATGCTCTACAGCAAATTTTTGTCTAAATGTCTGGTTGTCCATTGATAACAGACTTTTCACAAGAGATGAGCCAGAAAAGTGGAATCAAGCTCAAAAAGGTAATTGGTCTTCTGCCCAACATGTTTTGAATCTAGAGATAACATTTCTCTAATTGCACTACCATTTCTTTGTCGAACATAAAATTCTCCAGTTTTGCTTATCTGATAGAATCTGAGGGAATTGGAATTAAAAGCTAGACTAGGTTGACATTAAGTTTTTCTGTCGTTCTTTTTTCTGCTTTTCTTTTGGGCCAATGGCTAAGTTAAAAGGGTATCACATACATTAAGCCTATCTCTACCATGCGTATCAACCAAAGAATCTTGTAACTGATCAAAGATTCTGATCTCAAAAGAAATATTCTAGGTTGGCATTGTTTCTGCTGTGAAGTTCAGAACTGCAAGCAATCTTGTGCATACAACCGAGCACAATGATTTGTCTAATAGGTTGTTTACAAGTTCATTCCTTGTTAAGTCAGTCCAATTATACTCTCTGATTAATATAAAATTCTCCGTAACAGCTCCTATATCCTGCTTTGATAATTTTGCCATAAATATACTTATCTAAAGGGAAGAAGGATCATGGCCATAGAAATATATAGCAATAGGATGAGAGATGGATAAAACTCGGAAATTTGTTTTTCCTTGAATAAGTGTAAAGGTGGATGAATGAGTCTTGAATCCAAGCCATAGAGAGGGAAATATTTGCAACTGGGCCAACTTGGGTATTCATAATGAATAAACTCAAATCACAGATTCGCAGGTAATATCAAAAAGCGGCCAAACTATGATAACAATAAACGATGACTAGTGATGTTACCTCAAAAGCCTTTTCAAAAGTATCACCGATTTGATTAAGCGAAGTTGTGATCCTATCCAAGCCCTTTCGAAATCTAGGGTTGTCCATTCTTTTGAAGCTCTCAGAAATCTGATGAGTATGCTAGAACCAGTAGAAGCAAGCACCATCAAGGCATCAGCACATGTTAAATTGAGAACATAAATATCATAATGTCCTATTGTATATTTAAAAATTGGTTTCAAAGTTCAAATCAACAAGTATCATGTCAACATCTATCAATTTTTCTCCTCAAATCATATATAAGATTTACCTGGCCATCCACAGAGCTATCAATCACCTGAGGCATTGTTCTACTGGGGTTTTCAAACTGTTGAGATACATTTTCATCTTCCAGTATTGACTTAGCTTTGCGAGCCAAAACACCCCAAAATCCAGATTTCGACTCCATTTGCGCTGATGAATTCCCATAGGCAGAAAAGCTCTACAATTCAATCACTATATTCATTGAGCTGGAGAGAGAGAGAGAATGTGTAATACATAATTTCTTCTCCTGATTGAACCACTACATATGTGTGTTCTGTCACATTAAGGAGAAACTTGAAAGAAAGATGATTGTTTCCTTCAGGTACATGCAACTTTAGGTCGAAAGAAAGACAAAACATGAACGGTCAACGTTATGGAGAAACTTAAAAAATTTTGGAAAGTGTTACCTCCAACTTAACACTAATATAAGGCCATATATTGTCAAATTGTCACGCCAAAAAAAAAAATAACTCTCCAGAAAGGAGATTAATTCATTTAGCGGAACTTCTTGGAATAAATTAAAATTCGAAGGGTCCAGCTAGGGATGATATATCTCTGACGACAACCAAAGGAAAAATCAGATGCTGCAAAATATATCCGGAGCTCGATCAAAAACAATTCCTTAAGGCAACCAGATTTTACTGACCAGTCACCTTCAATGCATTTTCCTTCTAGGAGATGAGCAGAAATGTCCTACAGTAAAATTCCTCAAAGACTGAAGGGTCCCAAGACCAGGTGTAGATGACGCTAAACTATTGAAATGTGATTGCACTCTCTTTTTTTACCCCTCCATACTTATTCCAGATTGAAATTATGATGCCAGTAAAGAAATTTTAATTCCTCATACACAATCACAGTAATCAGTACGATTTCCCGCGGAAATTATAGCTGACGGGTCAAAAAGAAATGCATGAATTAAAACAGATGTCGTTTCAGTTCTTCAGAAAGTATATTCAGGGCAATCTGTTTCAATCACTGAAAAGCAGATGATTGAGCTGCTTCACGATGATGAATTTTCTATAAATTCCCAGTATTTTGCAGAACTTAAAACACATCGGAGAACCTACAATATCCTCGAATATGCATGCCGCACGTGAACGAATCAGATTGAATTAACAAATCGCATGTTATCCAATCCGAAGTTGCAAAGACGCTCTATGCATCAGTGATCGAGAACTCTCGAAATTAAGTTTTGAACAGGCATATAAGTAAGGGAAATTTTCCAAATTGACTAACTAAGACACGCCCGCTTCGTCGGACGCCGAAAATTCTGATTCAGATAAATGATCTCAGATCACGTGAATCCTACATGAAAGAACAAAATGCAAGCAACACGAAACACCCTAACAAAGCCAGCTCTTCGTTCGTTAACAGCGAATGAAATTGAATCGAAGCGAGACACAAAACAGAGAAACGAAATATCGACGAAAGCTCCTGGAAAAATAAAGGAAAAAAAGAAAAAGGAAGGAAAAGCAGAAGCAGAAGCGCAACCTTAGATCTGAGAGGATCATTCTCTCTGTCTCTGTACGCAAAAGCGGAGTCGCCGTACGCAGACGAGAGCGACGATTCGCGGTGAGCGGCGGACGCTCTGATCGCCTGGGCGGCCAGAGAGGAGGACGACGACGAGGAGTCGTCGGCGGTCGCCGGCGGAGCGGAATAAATCTCCTCCTTGAAGGTCGACGATTTCGTGATCCCGTGCCTTCGCCGATACGCCATTTCCGGGTTTCTGCCCCCTCCCCCTCCCCTTCCCTTCGACGCTCTGCCGTCACAGACGCGAGCAACAACAGTCCCGCAAGAGAGACAGAGAGAGAGAGAGAGAGAGAGAGAGAGGAGAGGATCGAATCGAGCCGAATGGGCCACCGCCGCCGCCGCGTGGGGGAGGGGTAGGACGAAACCGCCGCGAGAGCCGCCGGAGAAGGGCCGACGAGGAGCCGCCGGACGACGGTGGATGGCGGTGGTTGCCCCACTCGAACGAATTTGGGGGAAGGTGGTGAGCTGTTTTTGGGGGGAACGAGAGGGGAAAAAAGAGAACCACCTCCTTCACGTCTTAACGAACTCTTTTGCCACCCCCTACTTTTTTTAATATTTTCTAAAAATAAAACTAAAATATAAATCTAAAATAAAATAAAAAACACTAAAAAGTATCACCGTCCGATCGGAGCTCGACGTGAGGTCTTTTCCCATGTCCTCTAAATCAACGGCGCGAGGCGAAGGCACTAGCCTGCGACTGTGAGGATGAGAACCTTGCTGTTTTTCATAGTCCCTCGTACTTTGACCCGATGTGCAACGTGATTTATAAACTTTTATTTACTCAATGTGGTCCCTGAACTTTGATCCGACGTGCAATGTGAACCCTGAACTTTTAATTTGTGTAATACAGTCCGTGCACTTTTGATACATATTCAATTTAGTCTATGAACTATATGAAAATATTTAATGTAGTCCTTCCATTGATTTAAGATCACTTCAGGGACTATAATGAATATTTTCATATAGTTCAGGGACTATATTAAATATGTACCGAAAGTTCAAGGATCACATTAAATAAATTAAAAATTCATAGACCATTTGTATCATTATCCCTTTTTTTTTTCTTGTTCGTGCACATCCAACTCGAGTGAAATTATTTAAAGAACATAGTATCCCGTAAAATTTGAACCGTTAAAAACGGTGAAACTTATGTGGGCCCGACATAAGTTCCGCTAAATCCGACGGTCTAAACCCAATCTCATCTATACGTAATGTTTAGGCGACAATTGCAGCTTTGAAATCTGAAAATGATTGCTCGAGTGATGAAATACTTAAGACAGGACGCTTTGACCCGAAAAAAAAAAAGGAAAAAAAGACGACGCGGTCGATTCTACATCCGAATCATTAGCGTCATTGAAATTTGGACCAATGCTGAACACCGATGGGTGGAATCTTACCCGATGCACGCGGAGGAGATGAGACGTTCGCCACCGTCGGGATTGATCACATAAAATGTTCGAACATCTCCCGTGACAAAACAAATAGACAAACTCTACACATTGGCCGAGTGACATGGGCAAAAGAACACTACAAGTGCCATAACTTGTGTACGGCGCTCACTTTGGTGCTATAAGTTTTTTTTGGATCACTTTAGTACTAAAATTTTTTAAAAACGATCACTTAAGTGCTAAAATTTTTGAAAAACGATCACTTAAGTGCCAACTCCGGTGCCGTACACAATTTTTCGCCGGAAATCCGACGTGGCATTTTTTTTATTAATTTCTGAAGTTGACGTGGCTCGCCGGAGATTGGCACTTAAGTGATCGTTTTTCAAAAATTTTAGCACTTAAATGATCGTTTTAAAAATTTTAGCACTTAAGTGATCGTTTTCAAAAATTTTAGCACTGAAGTGATCCAAAAAAACTTATGACACTTAAGTGATCGTTTTTCCTCCGACTTGGCACCAAAGTGATCCGAAAAAAAGTTATGGCACCAAAGTGATCTCCGTACATAAGTTATGGCACTTATAGTGTCCTTTTGCCGAGTGACATGGGAACGGGAGTGGATGTGTCCCATTAAGCGTACGACACCAGGTCCGATTCCCCATGCAACTAGTTGCAAATAATTTCATATTTGGGTGACCATATTCGGGGTTTCGGCTCGCGCCTTACCTGATCCAAAAGGTTATTTCTCGTGATCCGAGAGTTTACCTACTTAAAGCGGGCTTCCTCGTCGTGGAAAAAGGCAAATGCATGAATACATTTTAAAGAGTGGTATTTGCAATTTCTACTTGGAATTGGAATCCATGATCAACCTTTTCCGCATGCATGTTGTTGGGGGGGCTGGGGGTCACCCAGCTCGCAATCGTTGGAGGCCCCCGCGAAAACAGCTTTGACTACATGCATGGTTTCCTTTTCTTGAGAAAGGCATCTCCTGTTTTTTTGGTTCCTTTTTATCTTTGAATCATTTTTTAAGTTTTTTTTTAAATCAAATCATGGCATATCACCTGTAAAATGCAAATCGATTACTTGTACTGATTCAATCGTGAACTTTTCCCGAATAACATCCGTGTCGATTTCCCGTTCTTTATGTCGTAGCTCTCTAAAGTTCGGTCGGTCGGTCGAAATTCCGATGCATAATGCGGGGTTTCCATATAGATCGAGAGAGTGACTCAAAGAAGGTCTTTCATTCATCGGCACCCATGAACCCGCACACACAACGCGTCGTGTTCTTGTGTCGTCACGGGAGATTTTGCACGGAATGTCTTTATTCGTGTGTACTTTTGTCAGCGTGCTTTTGGTGCTACGTGCCTGATGTAACAATGGGGACACAATCACTGGGGGTTTACTCCAGTGGCCACCTTTCTCACTTGAGAAGGGGGAGGTGGGGAGTTCGAATCCCCACCTTCGCAGGAGGTAGGGGTGGGGCCGCGTAGTTTAAAATGTGGATTTCGACACCCACGCCCTGCAAGAGGTGGGGCGCAAGTCTGAATGTGTATCGTGAGTGAGAGACAGAGTAAGACCGACCAAAAAAAAAAAATCACTGTCTCGTTGGCCAATCCGTACATAAAGTTTTGCTCTGGTGATACACGGTGGAAGATCAAAAATGTTGGTTGGTGAGGACTGAGGGAGGAGCAACGACCCGCTTGAAAAGAACCGCACAATTTTCGTTTGGTGAACGTTAATCGCTTCACAAACAAGTCTTATGTTCGCTGTGTATGCTTCCATACTTGGCAAGGCGAGGCGGCATTTCGTTATGCATGGTTTGTTCCGGTTGAAGGGTCGAATCGCCGTGATGACCCGGATCGAAGGGCGATCCTCGTCGCTTGCGACTATAGCAATGGATGTTCAGCTCCTTCTCGCAGATCAAAGATCGCCGGTAGACATTTTCGTTGGAAGAGGGCTTCTCGGCTTGGAGACCTGGCTGAGCTGATCTTTCCGGGCCTGAAGAGATCATCTGGTCGAGCTTCGCCTTTAGGTACGATAAGTCGAATAAGAACTGAGAAGTCGCATGCTCCGGTCGGTCAGTTTTTGATGCTGCTCCGACATCGCACAGTTTACTGATCCCCGGACACAAATCTCTCTGGTTGTGTGATCTTGAAATTTCCGTTGTGCCGGCAGTTGCGCAGACACTGCTCTTGTTCTTCTGGAGCGAGGATGGCGAGGATTGCGAGACGCGGTTCTCCCTCAGGGATTCCGGAACATCCGGCCGAGACATGCCTAATGCCGAGTCCAATGCTCGCAACTTCCTCTCGACTATATTCTGCGCGGCCTGTCCTAAGCCCTTGGAGAACAACACCAGACTCTCTCTGTAGCCAATATCCTGTTGCTTCACCTGGAAAAGGCGAGAATTCTCACCGTCAATGCCACAGTTCCATTTTGATCAGTCGCTCACTGTTGCCTTACTACTAGTGAAATCACTCGTCAATTGTAACCTCGGGGCGCGATGGTAGGCAATTTGGCCTAATTGTCATGTTCGAATGAAGCTGAACTTGTGGATAAGCAACGTTTATGCTCAGGATGTATTCTTCTTTTCCATCAGTTAGAGACTAGGAATTTTATGCCGTGATCACATATTCCTCAGTAAGTATACAAGCACCCAGAAACCACATCACACTTAAATTTACATGCGGACATGAATAAGAGCTCAGAACTTACGTGCATCAGTGGCTGTACACGCCCGATTGTTTTGCTTGTGGGATCGCTTCCATTGAGGAGGGATGTCCAAGGCCTGTACGAAGAACGCCGATCCGCATCAGGAAGGCTGGATTGTTGTCCCCAGTCTCTGCTGTAACCTAGAGGAAAACGAAAAGATCATTACATAATCAGGCAAGATTCCGTTGTCCATTCTCTTCTTGTCTATCGGCTGAGATATTGTGTAAACTTGGTTTCTCGCAGGCCAAGGAACTTTGAGACATAGAAACCATGATGGTAAAAGATACTTCATTTGTTACCAAGATTTGGTCCATTTGATGCTTGCACAAGACTAGCAGTACCACAGCTCCTAGAGTTCATCGAGACGTTCCTGAGATTCGATGGACCTGTTGAAGATTGGAAGGCCTTCGATGATATGTCCCGACTCGACCTCACGTTCTTATGAGTTCTCCTAGAAGAACTATTAGTTTGACCCCTAATTTCTGCCTGAGATCTCCTAGTCACTCTTCTCGTTTCCGAGAATTGCAATTCGAAATCATTTGGATTGGTTCTAAGGAGATGAAAGACCTGCTTTGCTAGTTCGTGGATGGCTCGAGCCTGCACAACCATAGGAGAGAACTGACTTGTTGAGCATTCTTGGATGTTCGTATCTATTCGGGGCAGCTATTAGAGTAAGCTAAACATACCTGTCTAAAGTAAGTGGTGCCCGACGGATTAAAACGCATCGCGTTTTTGGTAATTAAGAATGCGTCGTGCTGCACGGGACATAGCAAAGAGAGAAGACACTAATCAGTCAGATGATGTCGAGACTTTTGCATGACAGTGATCCTCTCTTACATTTCAATTGCATTCACTTGCTGTTTTGTCCTCGATTTGACAGTAACGTGTGTGCGTCATTGGGATGATAAAAAGACTTAATGTAAAGCATGGAAAAGAAAATCTATGACACCGGCATCGTGTACGATAGAATAAAATCATGAGCCAATGGTTCTTTTTTTTTTTTGGTAATAATGACGGGCCGATCTCAACTAAAACTACAAGGAAAAATCAAAGAGAGCTCCTATCTTTCAAGCTTACAGTAGTATATGCCTTTGTATATCGTGTTATATTTTCGTACTGCATAAGATGTTAGACTGTCTATCGATAATTGATAACAAATTTTAGTCAGAAATCGGAAACAAAATTACAGCAAGTCTATTCTCCTATTCCAACCAGATGCTATTAGAATATTGCAGGGCCGTAAAACAGTGGATGCTACCCTTTGGCCAATAAATCTAATGAATGGACAGACAGTAGCTACTGTTACATTCTTTTTTTTTGGTCAGAATAGCTACTGTTACATTCATTTAGGATAAAAAAAAGGCAAATCTATTAGAAGAGGAAAGGACTATACCTCAAACTGTTCAAGACTACTATACATTCCCTCATGAAGTTTAGCTCTCATGGTTCCGAAATCCATAGGCTCTTCAATGATTTTGTAATAATCCTCAACCTTATATGGAAAAAGAAACAGAGAAAACTCGGGGTCAGTCGCACAAGGAGAAACAAATGTGTAGAAGCAAACAATGTCATAACGTAAAAGACCAGACAAATACCTCGGTCGGATCAACTGGTTCACCGAATATCTCATAAGTGTCTCTCCTGATTAAAGAGCATGAGGTCAGAAACAGAAAGACATTGGCAAAATATGTTCAGTACATAACCAGATCGACAATTTACCAAGTCTAATTGCCAGAGTTTGTCATAGATCAACTGTCATAAGAATCCCACCTTTGTAAAGTGTCGATAACGAGTTCTAGCACACGCTTTTCCGGCATCTCTGGTGTTGAGGACGACTCGAGACGTTGAGCTGATTGCAGGCCTGAAAACAGGATCGAGTATCTGAGTTAGATGACTTGTTCTGCTGGCAGGAATAGGTGCATTGCAGATTTAGATGACTGAACTGAGGCAACCAACCATTGTTTCTGTTCCCATCACGATCTGCAAGTTTAGACTTTGCCCGATCCTGCATCACCTGTTGCTCATCTGAAAACATTGAACAAAGTAAAGTTTCAGGATAATCACACTTAGGAAGAGGAAGTAAAACTATTGTTCACTTGTTTTGCTAGTGCTAAAAGGCTTACCTCTATCAACTTCATGATCTTCAAGTCTTCTTCCGCTTCTAACCTGTATTAACATTTCCAACAAAAGCAAGAAAGAAAATTCCGAAGGGTCACCCTCTCGGTTCTGAAAAACCCAGTACCTAATGGGTCCTTTTGGAGTTTCACGTGACAATACAACGGAAGAAAAATACTTCACTAGCTTTTATTGGGAAGAGAGTATAATCACCTCAACTACAATAGGACCTAACTTTCTCTGGGGCTCAAAACACATCATCAATACATAATTGGACATAATTTCTTACAAAAATGACGGAGAACAATGAATCAATACACGGACACGCACGTTGCATGTATGATCGATTGTTTATAACAAAGTAAGAGGTTAGAGGACTAACTGTCACGTCGTGATCATGAGGGGTGGGCAATTTTCTCTTGTTCCTGGCTCTGGTCCTAGATGCTGGCCCCTCCTCCTGGTCCTGGGAGTCATTTCTCTTCTCAGTTATATCATTTTGTGGCGAAATGCGAACAGAGTCATCCGTATGATTTGTGCCCCATGACTTGCACGTGCCCAAGGCATAGACTCGCGGACTTTTCCGCCTCTGTCCCTCTCTCCACTTCAACACTTGCACTTTCCTACAGCACCAGAAATTAAGTTAACATAAAGAAACTAGGACTTTGTTTTTTACACCCACTGCATTTACCTATCGACACAGATATCTGAAGGAACTGAAGAGGAAAAGAAAAGAGGAACAAAATGGGGATTATTCTTTTTTTATAAAGTTACATGATGAATGGTGAACCAAACCTGGACATTGTTATAGATTTGTGAAGAGAAAAATTTTTACTTTCTGAAACAGAAGAAAGAAAGTGTGACTGGGTTTCTGAGGATTCGTTCTTCAGCGCTACAGATTATATAGACGGACGTGGTGTGAAGTGGAAGTGAAGAGAGAAGGCCAGAAAGAGAAATGTTTGTGTCTGTTACATTTTTGGTGATACGACTACCAGATTTGGCTTTGCTATGTTTCTGTTTCTGGGAAGATTTGGACAACGCAGTCATGGAATCAAGTAGACATCAAATCACCCCAGGTTGTCGTTTTTGATTCGATTCATTAACAACTGGATTATATACATTGATTTTAGAATACTAACTGGTAAAAGCAATGATCCGCAACCCGCAAGAACTGACAGTGAAGTGAGCATGCAAGAAAGATATACATTTGCAGGTGACTCTCCAAAGCGAGTAAAAGGAAAGCCATGAATAAATTAATAAATGAATGAAGGTTCTTTAAGAGTGTACTTAAGCATTGCCAAGTTAATTATCTAGTAACTTTATGTGCACGTTGCTGGGATCAATTTGATGAGCCAAGTAAACAAAACCCTGAAAGACAGATTTTTGTTTGTAAGCGCCGGGTTTGCTTGAGCTGGATCGGGTTGATTTGGCCAAGGCTAATTTCCTTGATTCGGGTCAACTTTTTCATCATCCTTAGAAATCTCCGACCCGATGAGCTCAGACCGGGCATGATATTTAACTGACCTTCGGAATACCACTAATACTTGCTGACAGGTACAAGGTACAAAAATTTTCAGTATCTCAACAAGCTATATCCTACAGAGCAAAAAAAAAAAAAAAACAAGCTATATCCTCACTCATGGCTACATGGTGTTTTTCCTCTTTCAGCTCAACATTGTAGAGTTGGGGACTAAAAAAGGGGTAAAGAAAAAGAAAACTGGAGAGTCAGCGCCTTTGGCCGTGTCATTCTCACACACCGAATTCACAATGAGCGTTCGACCTTCTCATCCTCTTTCTGAATCCTTGTACTATGACAACGTTTTGGTCTACGAAATCAGGTCCAGAATCCCTTCGCTATATTTGGTGAAAATCCTTTCAATTGGAGAGAGTGCTCACTCCAAATACTAAATTGCAAATGAATTTGCCAAAGCATCGTCTCTGGCTAGCCTCTATCCTATGGAAACTAGTTGGCCCAGAAGAAAATTGAAACCTGCCTAATTTTACAAATGATCAGGTGGCAGGAACATCATCCGGAGGGAGGGGGAAAAGAGAGAGAGAGAGAGAGAGCAACAAATATCTGGAAAGATTGAACCCTAGAATGTATCTTATAATGACTAAGAAATCTCAACATACAATTTCCGTTTTTCTACATCTGAATTACACTCGCATCACTGTACTCCACTCTAGGAGATCCCTCAATGTTGTCACTGTGACCGAATGATTGATGATGCAAAACTAATAACAGATTCTAGAGCACGCAACTTTGACTTGCATTCATTAGACTATCGACGGTATTGTCCAACACACAGCACAGTCTCGCTTCGGCAGCCAAAGAAGACACAAGGCCCTCCATAGATGTCAATTGTCTGTGGAACTCCGGATGCAACACCAAGGAGGAGAAGTTTGTGTCCAGCACCAAGCTGAGGCATCTGACAACATCTTCAAGTTTAGGAACCAAATCACAAGCCCACAACCCCAACATGGATGACGCTTGTGGACACGGGCATGCTTGAGGAAACTTTTCATACTTCTTCAGCCACTTCTCCAAATAACTGAGCAAACTCGCCATCTCTTCTCCATTCAACTTGCTTAAGGCAGACGACAACATCACTTCATCGACATTCGCCAATGCTAACAAATGATGCAAACAAAGCTCGGAAATGGTAAAACCATCATGAGCGACCATCAGCAGAATCGCAGCATCCCTCGCAACTCCACATTCCTTCTCTGTAAGATTCTTATCACTCGCCTTTGCGATAGCTGACATGGCCTGGCTTTCCAATTCTTTCCTCACAGTGACCATGCTATCCAAGGCGTCTTTAGGTGGACAAAGGAAGTACTTCAAGATGCAAACCAGCTCATCTACATGAAGAACTGGGGCATGCTTAATGCAAAGACAAACCAAATCCGACCTCCTCTTCAGCAATAGATTGAATATCAAATTCGAATAGCATGAATGATCGACAATCCCACATATAACCATGCATCCCACCAGTTCCCATAAATTCAGAGCCACACATGCTTCCAAAATCAAGGACATGACGCCTTTACCCACGAGAGTACCCACATTCTCAATCAAAACCTCTGCATACTTTCTATGGTTTCGGGAAACCCCAACTGAAATTCCGACAATCTGAAGAACTTTCTCAAGAAAAGGTTCCAAAATTTCAAAAAACTCACTCCTCTCAAATTTGTTAGTGTCCTTGAGCTTCTGTTTTAGGTTGTTAGAGAACTTGCCGACTAAATCAATGAGCTGGGAATCAGTTTGCGAGACTTGCCATCCTGTAACAGGACAAACAAGAGATAGAGGATCTCCGTCTTCTTGTTTAGGCTTCAAATTCTGAAGAATATGGTCTGGGTTCAGGGTGACTGGATATTCTGACTCAGAATCTGTCGAGTTGTGACCACTAGTGGCCTTGGTTATAAGCTCCAGAAGAGTCATGGCAGAAGACTGTCAAGCTAATGCAAGAACCTGTTGGGAAAAAAAGAAGAAGAAAAATTCACATGATCAGAAGCAAAAAGTAATCGATCCAATAATGATAGCACGGTTCTTGGGCAAGACTAAGCCATGTGAAGAAATATGGACCAATCTCTAAAAATCTGTTTGAACAACTCAATGTACTCCATTATCGCACTCTTATACCCAACATGAACTAACCCACACGGCTGATCACATGCCGACACAACATTCTTTTCAGCCAAGTTTTGAAAACAGAACCAACCAGTCAAGTGAGTGACGTTACTCTCTGATCAGTCACACTAAACAGAAGAACAGCACAAGTAATCCACAAGCTTTATCATTAACCGCGGCCTATTGTACATTCTTCTATAGAAATCCGAAGGGCTCAAATCTTAAAACTTGAATTTGCCAAAAGACCAATGCAGACAGCGTCCTAGGCCATAAGGAAATACACCCAGAAACAAAAATCCCCAATCAAACAACTATCTAGCCATTCAAACAGCAGCAGTTAACAACCACTTGAAAGTTAAAACATCAGTTCACGCTCTCTATGACCGAAAGATTCGCCATATAACAGCAAAGCAAAGAAACGTAAAGCAACAGCACAAACGGCCACCCATTTGAGTAAAGAACATCCCAACACAAACCAATGCCGACCCGACAATATTACCTGCAAACAAAATCTGGGTCCGGCAAAAAGATCAACTCTTGCTTCACAAAACCAAGTCTCCTGGTTCCGAAGAAGCGACTCCAGAAGCTTAGCTTCAACAGTAAAGCGTACCTCAATTGTCTTGATCGTTCGGTGGCTCGGAATGTGCAGAGAGAGAGGGAGAGAGAGCGGAAATGGCTGCGAGTCTCGTGACAGAGGATTGACGTGAACGGGATGTGCTGCGCTTCGCTCCGCTTTCCAGATAGAGGGGCGAGCGGTTGAGCTGGGTTTTGCTAGGGTTTTGTCCCGTCCTTAGTAGACGTGTCTATTTTTATTATTGTTGGAAAATCGATTTTCTTTCTTTTTCCAAAATGAATCTCTCAAAAGAGCCATTCCAAAAATATATTAATCCCATAACTATTTTCAAAAATCTAGATGTCTTATTTGCCAAATTGCCTAGTCATCACCCTCTCCATTCTTGTCGCTAATACTTCTCTCTCTCTCTTAAAATTATTAATGTAATTTCCAACATTTTGCGCAATCTTTAGTATTTTGCAATTACTCTATGATGAATGATAATAAAAATCTAAAAAATAAGTTGGATGCAAACGAAATGGGAAAATTGTCCAAAAAGTCCTAAACCTATTACATTTTTGCCAATTTAGTCACAAACCTTTTAATTTTGCCAATTGAGTTCTAAACATTTTCACTTCTTGCCAATTGAGTCTTAAACATTTTCACTTTTTATCAATTGAGCCCGTTCGGCTAATTTTCAGCTAATTTTCGGTAGAGATATTCGCCAATTTAGTCACTTTTCTTTTCTATTCTTTTTCCTTTTTTCCTTTTTCTTTTTTTCCTCCCCTTCTTCCTCCTCAGGCCAGTCGCCAGGCGTCGACAGCTGACTAGACCTTGCTAGCCTTAGGCAAGCCTCACCGTCACTAGGCGAGACTCGACCTCAATAGATCAGGCCAGGCCAACCCTGCCTGGCCATAGCGAGGTCAAGCCTCACCGTTTTCGGGCGAAGGCGGCCTTGCCATGGCTGGGTGAGGTTGGCCTTGCCAAATTTGGCATGGCCGAGCCTCGCCATTGTTGGGGAGGGCAAGCCTTGCCCATACCTCACCAGGGGCCAATGAGGCTCGTCTTCGCCTGAGGCCAACGGGGGCGAGGCTAGCTAGGTTCGACGATCAGCTGGAGAATGAAGAAAGGGAGGGAAAAAAAGAAAAATAAATAAATATTATTAAAAATTATTCACGTCAGTACCATGTAAGCTGGTCAACGTCCACGTCAACATTTATCGACCAAAATTGGTCAAATGGATTTAATTGGCAATGAGTGAAAAGGTTTAGGACTTACTTGGTAAAATTGAAAGATTTAGAATTAAATTGACAAAAGTGCAATAGATTTATGACTTTTTTGATAATTTTCCCCAATCAAAACTATACTAGGTCTTTAGCACCCAATTGGAGATGAATGTGAGGGATATTTAGCAAGAAAATAAGGATTAGGGATTTCAAAAATTGGGAATGCTTCATATTAGTAACTGTTCGAGAATATCTAATTTTCATTAAATAGCATTTAACTTTTCTTTATTTTTTCATATTAAGAGCACTGCCAAATCGTTTGAAAGTTTCGGAATGAAACGGAATCCCCATTCTTTTTCAATGGTGTCTTGTTTAGCAAGTTGGCGTAGAAGGGCATTTAAAATGGAATTGCCATTCCCCTACTTGAAACTGAAAGGAAGGTTAAAAGAAGTGTGTGAAGCATTGTAAATTGTTCAATCAATTTTTTCATTATTTTTTATGCAATTGACTCTTTAAACTATATAGTTTTTTTTTTAGTAAAGTCAATTCTTCCGTTAAAAAAGAAAGGCAAATGCTGATGCTAATTGACACATCAGTGCGACGTCAATGTTGATTTGGTAATCTTGTGGCGATCGGATTAGATATTACAAAATTTAGTAATATTGGAATAGAATGGCAATTCACATGGAATGCCCATACCCCTATCGCCGGTGGAGGTGGCAACGCCCATGCGCCAAGGGCTGGTCACTGGGATTGTGCAATCCGAGGTGAGCTAGATTTGATCTCCGATCACACTTCGCGCTTAATGATTTCTCCAGTTGGTCATCTCTCGATGCGACCCACTGATGGATGTGAGCTTTAGGGTTTAAGATTGCAGTAGAGCTGGCAAACTTTATTTTTTCATGAGTTAATACCGTGAAAAACCCCAAACTAGTACACTTATGATAAATTTATCTCAAACTAATTTTTTAAGTATAAAAAATCTCAAACTTGTACATATGTGATAAATATACCCAAAACTAATTTTTTGACCATAAAAAACCTCAAACTGGTACATTTGTGACAAATTTACCTTCCGTCAGTTTTCATTAAATTGGATTAATACCATGAAAAATCACAAATCTGTACAGTTGTGATAAAAGAAGGGTAAAACCCTAAACTGGTATACTTGTCAATTGTTACGTGTCATCCAACTCAGCAATTTGAAAGTAAAATTTAACGAAAACTAATAGAGAGTAAATTTGTCAAAGGTGTACCAGTTTAGGATTTTTTACGGTTAAAAAATTAATTTTGGGTAAATGTATCACAGATGTAAGAGTTTGGGGTTTTTCATAATATTAACCCTTTTTTCATTCTTACTAAATGTTTTAAATTCGGGAGTGATGGCTATTTTAGTGGGAATTTGCTCGTTGAATTGTCATTTGGGATGTTGCCTTGTTTTCTTGATTTGGTGCCATTTGAGTTGTAGCCCAGAATTGATCGTGGTCGTCAACTGTCGTCGTCGGGGAAAATTGTCCAAAAAGTCCTAAACCTATTGCACTTTGGCCAATTCAGTCATAAACCTTTCAACTTTACCAATTGAGTCATAAACCTATTCATTTCTTGCTAATTGAGTCCATCCGATCAATTTTGGCCGAAAATCGCTAGCGTGGATGCTGGACGGTCACGTGGACATTTTAAAATAATATTTTAATAATTTATGACTTTTTTATGTTTTTTTCTGTTCTTTTTTTCCTTTTCTCTCTTTTTTTCTGGGTTCTGCAATTAGGGCAGGCGAGGGTGGCCGGCCGACCCTCACCGGTTCTGAGCGAGGCCGTCGTGGCCCTCGCCCAAATCAAGCGAGGGTCGCTACGCCCTCGCAAGATTTGGCCAGGCGAGGGCTTAGTGGCCCTCGACGGCCCACCTCGCCAGGCGAGGGCGTCGCTACCTTTGCCGGATTTGGGCGAGGGCCGTGACGCCCTCGCTTTGGCCAGCGAGGGCCGCGACGCCCTCGCCCAGAGTCGGCGAGGGTTGGCCGGCCACCCTCACCGGCCCTAATTTCAGAACCAGAAAAAAAAAAGAGAAAAGAAAAAAAAATTATAAATTATAAAAAATATATTATTTTAAAATGTCCACGTCAGTGCCACATGGCCGTCAGGCGTCCACGTCAGCGATTTCCGGCCAAAATTGCCCGGATGGACTCAATTGGCAAGAAATGAAAAGGCTTAGGACTCAATTGGCAAAATTGAAAGGTTTAGGACTGAATTGATAAAAGTGCAATAGGTTTAGGACTTTTTGGATAATTTTCCCGTCGTCATTGAGGTCGCACTAATCTAGCTGTCGCATGCATTTGTTGTCCGCCAAGTTGGGCCATCCCATGACGCTTCGCCTCAGTGAGCCCCATTCACTGAGGGTGATAGGTTTTCGGTCTGATCCGGTTCCAAGGTGGAACTAGGAATCAGACCGAAAGGACTGGTTCCCAAAATTGAGATCTAAGGATCGAACTCCGGTCCGGTCCAATAGAACCGATTACTTAGGATTTAGTTCACTTTTACTAATTTTTATTGATGAATTTATGTCAATGAAGTTCACTTAGGGTTTAGTTCACATCTTATCAATTTTTTTGAAAAAATAAAAAAATACATATGTAGTCAGTCCGGTCTAGTTCTCCCTTGGAACTAGGAACTTGACTGTTTAGACATTAGTTCCACTTTTAGGAATTGGAAACTGGACCAACACTCCCGAGAACCGGATAGGTCCGGTCCGAGCGGTTCTCGATTTGGGGGTCTGTTTTGCACACCCCTACCGTTCACCACTATTGAACACACTTCTCTTCCTTTCTTTCTTTCTTTTTTCTTTTTTCAAATTTGCTTATTTTTGAATTTCTTAGTAATTATCTTGTTTTTTTTAATTATGTATTATTTGTTATTTATTTATTGTAATTTTTTTAAAGCCATGTAAGATGCCATGTATTCATTTAATCAGCACATTAGCATTTTCGTGTCTTTTTAAACGGAAAAACTAACTTGAACAAAAAAATTATAGAGTTGAGACGTCCAACTAACAAAAAATCAAGAAGTTCAGGGTCTTCATTAAACAATTTTCATTAATTTATAGACTTCTTGCATATGAAGAGTCGTTTGAAGGGTCGGCATCCACTTTGAATTTGATAGTATAGTTATTAGTACTAAGTGGAGGAATGACCTATTCCTTTCCTTTTTCTTTAACCAAAAACTTAATAATTTAGATGATTTTACTAAAAAAAATTATTAATTATAATTAGTATAACTAAAATACGAAATGTAATTTAGTACCTATATTTGCAATTATACTTTGAAATGTAATTAGAAATTTTAATCGAATAATTAATGTTTTTTAATATCTAATTTATTATTTAATATGCTGTGACTTGGCGATTCAGTCAGCATCAACAGGTGGAGGAAAAAGATGAACAGTAGAAATAGTCAAAGAACTTAAAAAATTGCAAAAATCGTCAACGTTATGATTGAACCGCCGTGTAAATGATTTTCGGTTTAAATTAGCCGAATGGACTACATTGAAAAATTGTCAAAAGATTTGAGACTATATTGGCCAAATTGAATAGTCTATAACTGAATTAGCGGGCGTCTAATAAGGTTCAAATTTTTTTGAGTTAATATCACGTTAAACCCCAAAATGGTACGTTTACAACAATTTTACCCCGAACTATTTTTTTGACCACAAAAAATTCCAAACTGGTACACCTGTGATAAATTTAGCCTGAACTATTTTTTTGATCACCAAAACCCCAAACCGGTACACTTGTGACAATTTTACCCCAAACTAATTTTTTGACTACCAAAAATTTCAAACTGGTACACCTGTGAAAATTTTACCCTGAACTAATTTTTTGACTACTAAAAACCCAAAACTGCACATTTGTGACAAATTTACCTTCCGTTAGTGTCCGTTAAGTTGGATTAATATCACGAAAAATAACAAATTGGTAAACTTGTGACAAACAGAGGGGTAAAACCTAAAACTGGTATACCTGTCAATTACCGCGTATCATTAAACTTAGAAATTTGACAGTATAATTTAACGGAAATTAACGGATGGTAAATTTATTACAGGTGTACCAGTTTGGGATTTTTTGTGGTCAAAAAATTAATTCGGGGGTAAAATTGTCACGAGTGTACCAGTGTGGATTTTTTGTGGTCAAAAAAATAGTTTGGGATAAATTTATCACAAATGTACCAATTTAGAGTTTTTCGTGGTATTAACCCAATTTTTTTAGACAATCCTCCCATTTCTTTCCCCTCACATTCTGCTTGCAACTAAACACAAGAGTGCTAGTTCTAGTCCATTTCGCACCTTACTAAATAAAAATATTTTGAATAAGCATTCCATTCCATTCTGTCGTACCAAACATAAAATTAAAGATTTTTAATTAGCGGGCTGCAAACATAGACAAATATGTGGGTAAGTTTGCATGCGAATGACGTCCATGAATGCTAACCCGGTAATCAGAGATATTCCTCCAACAAGGGACTAGAAAAATATATAACCGTAAAAATATGATTCATACATTGAAGATCAAAAGTGAAGTCCACCATTACTACCATTGCTACTATTCCAATACATGTTGCAAATCTAACTTACAGTGAAGATCAAAAGTAAAATCCAGGGAACGGAGCAAACGAGCTCTTGCAATGAGCAATCGCCGCCTGAATGGAGCTCTCTCCGGCATGAAGAGGGGAGCACCTAATGGAACTCGGACAGCTCGACGACGACGTTCTTTTGAACCAACCACTGTTCGAAGCCTCCGCAGCACTCTTCTTGCTGTTCATCTTCGAAATCGATGACCGGTCATCGCCGTTGCTATTCATCCTCACAGACGAGCTCTTGTTGTAACACTGGTTCGTCCCTGCTGATGACGACGACGGCGACGACGAAGAGTTCTTGGCTGATTTGCTGGTGGACATCCTCCGGTAGAACTCGAGTGTCTCCTCCAGTTTTTGCTTCCTTTCTCTGCCGGAAGTCCTCTTCTTGCCTTTGGGATCGGTTGCGGTTGCGTCGCGGGTCTTCATGATTGGGGCCAAGAGGGATTTCGCTTGCATGGCTCGGAGCTTGATGAAGAACTTCATGATGCCTCCGTTCATCGTCGTTCTTGTCTTCGATGATGGCTTCCTTCTAAATTGAACGAGATTAATGGCGTAGAGTTATTGATTAGGCTATGAAATGATATATAAAGCTACTTTCCATGCATGAGAGTATAGAACGATGAACTTTAGGCAGCAGGTAGATGAATCATGCCATGAATTTAGGACAGCTTCAAGGACAAGACGATGCATCTGAATCTTAAGCTTTTGAAGTACCTCGTGCGCAGCATCTCAGTCTTCTTGTCTTGCTTTTCATTGCTACAAGCAACATTGTTTTCTTCGCAAATCTCCGGCGGTACCTTCAAGCTCGATACGAGCATGCTCAGTAGACGGCCAACGGCCGGAAACTGCACTGCGCCTCTCCGGCCGCCGGGAATTTCCTTCGATTTCATCCCCTTCTTGTTGTCATCTCGAGACTTTGACGAAAATGAAGAAGTCGAAGTGTTCGTGGCGGACGAAGATGACTGGCTGCTTCCACTCTCTGCGGCATCGACCGCGTGGCTGAAGCTCGGGATCGACAGCCGGGGAAAGGGGACGTGGGACGAAATCGATATCCGCAGCTCTATCTCGCCGTCCTCGTCGTCGGATTGGACGTCGCCGGTTCTGTAAGGTCCGGCTCGCTCGAGCTCGATCTCGATGTACGACTCGTCGCTGTCCTCACCGTCAGACAAGACGACGCCGAAGGAGGAGGACGAGAAGTCGCAGTTGCTGAAGGTGAAGCTCTCCTGACGGTCTTCTAGCTGGTCTCGCTCTGTCAAACCCATGCTTTAGGGCAAAGCTAAAGAGAAGATCACCACATAAGGGATGATAATGCACGCACAAAGAAGGCTATCAGCCCATCAACATCGGATTGAAATGGACATGCACACAAGAAAATAATAAAGTTAGGGTTTCGAAGTCCAAAAATCATTGCATGGTCTCTAATTAATCATAAAAAACTTTGGTTAATTGCTAATTTAATATTTTTTTGGACCGTCCACAACGTTGACTCTTGACTCCTAACCCCGAATCTCCGTGATTCAATATTTGGTTCCTTAGCGTATGCAAGTTTGTTGCCTCTGCCTTCTCCATGATTTTTCAATGCTCTTGATTGTGACATCTGATCCCACACCTTAATCAGTATTGATTAGTGTTTGATTGATCTAAACTCTGATGTTAAGTCTTAATTAGTCAGCTCATATAATTCTCCTTTTTTCTTTTCCTTCTTTTTTTCCCTGAAAAGAAATGATAGTTTTGGTGTTATGCCACTCGTGATCATTAGTTTATCTTTCTTTCAACTTCCTTGATTTGTGTACGGAAATTTCGCCTTAAGTCGAGTGCGTCGTTTGAAATCATAAATACATGAATAAATAAATAATACTTTCTTTAGAAATTGTTGAATAAGATTAAGAAATGCCCATCTTTGATGATTTTTGTTTATCGTCTAATTATTTTCGAACGGGTCCATTCCACGTTGGAAAATATCAAAATATGATTAAAGGAGCAATTAGAAAAAAGACCCTGTAATTAAATGTAAGAATTTGATTGGCCCTTTAGCAAAGGTCCTTCAATTTGTGAATTTTTAGTCATTTTACTGTTTAATAACCTAGCTATAATCCTATTTTTGCAACTAAATTATTGCATATGAAAATTTAAAACGGACTTTTAAATTGATTAACCATCGATTGGCTATACAGACTATGCAACCAAACCTCTACACTTAAATAAGATTGACGCGGTCCGTGTAACTAAGATTAGTCTTTTTTTTTTATCGTTAGCCTGAATTATTCTTATTAGCTAGTCTTATTTCTCCATGAATTCTTAATTCATGCTTTTGATATGACAAACCAGGAAAAAATTTCGCCCTTGCGACTAGATCAACCCCATGAACAAGATCATAAACATACACAAGAACAGAATCCCTTGATGTTATCTTTTGTATCTGCTTGTGACGCTGAAAACTGAAAAGAGCCTCCGAACCACCTCAATGGTCCCGGGGCTCCACCATCTTTGTCGACACTTGTTTTCTTAATCGATGAACAAATAGAGATTATCTATAAGAATCCCCCTTTTTAAGGACCTTAAATTAAGGTTGATCTGTCCATGAGCATGACTAGTTTGACGACGTACGCTATTGCCTCCATTGATTCTTACATACTGTATTGCATGGAAGGCAATTCCTTGGACAAATCATTGAGGAATCGATGACCGAGAAAATTGTCCAAAAAATCCTACACTTATTGATGAAAAGATTGTCTTCTGCATTCGATGCTTCCTGTACTTCCCCTGCTTCCTTTAGCAGTGGAAATGCAGACATCTAGCACATAGAAGAGCGGATTCGATTCCTATTCCTTATTAGATGAGATGAGATGTTAGTTCCTTTCGTGCAACCTGCTCTTGCATATGCAGTTGGTGTCCTTAGTCAATTTATGTACTCTATACGTATCCCTCATCTTGAAGCTGAAAAAAGAATTATGCGGTATCTTAAGTCGTCTCTTGGAAAAGGTATTTGATATGCCTCTAATAGACATCTTCTTATTTCTGTCTATGGCATTTTTACCAATTCAGTATTAAATCTTTCATTTTGCCAATTGAGTCCTAAACATTTTCACCTTTTGTCAGTTGAATTCATCTGGCCAATTTTAGCCGAAAATCACTGACGTGGATGCCGACCTTGCCACGTAGGACGACCGACATTGACGTTGATAATTTTTAATAATATTTTAATAAATTTTAAATTTATTGTTATTATTTCTTTTTCTTTTTCTTTTCTTTCTTTTATTCTTCATTCTTCCTCCTCTAGCCGGTCGTCGGGCATTGGCGATGCCTGGCGGCGAGGTCAAGCCTCACCATGGCTTGGCAAGGTCGGCCTTGCTAGGGGCGGGCAAAGCTCGCCCTCGTCGGTGGCCAGCGGGGGCGAGTCCTAGCCACCAGCTAGAGGAGGAAGAAAGAAGGAAAAGAAAAAGAAAAAGAAAAAGAAAAGAAAATTAAAAAAAATTATTATTAAAAATTATCCACGTCAGTACTGGCTGCTTCATGTAGGACGATCGGCGTCAACATCAGTGATTTCCTGCCAAAATTGGATGGATAGACTCAATTGACAAAATTAAAAGGTTTATGACTGAATTAGCAAAAGTGCAATAGCTTTTAAGACTCTTTGAACAATTTTCCCATCAATGATGTGCTTGGAGATCTTTCTTTATTAGGGTTTTTGCAAATTGTAATGACAAATTGGTTTCTCTCAATCGTGTGTATGCAATATAAATAAAAATATTAAGAATGACTAAAATTTGAAAGATAGTATTATCTACAAGAATGAAGATCCCAAAATTGAAAAAAGCATAATGAAAAGTAATTAGAGATGCCTTAATCTAGTTTTGCTTAATAGTGAAGAGCAAAAGTTTTGGTTTAGGTCTTTGCTTGACCAAGCAAGCAATCAAGAAGGAATAGATCCGCTTTGATCTTCCGAGTTAGACACAGAAAACACTATAGAATGTTATTAAAAATTCACTGTGAAATTCTTTAAATCTAGTTGGTGATTTTTCTTTTGTTTTGAAAAAAACGAAGAACATCTTTTTATGTGAAATTTTATATTAAAAAAAAATTGAGATCGTGTAGGGAATCAATAGGAGGAGCTCAGCAACATCACCCTTGAATTCATAATGGGCTTGGGCCTTTTGGGTTTTTGGCTGGCCGGGCAGTCATACCCACGTCATCGGTCTCCTTTTCGGTACCTTCCTCATAATCGCAGGGTCGGCACTACCTTTCTTAGTTATAATTCAAACGAAAAGACATAGACATCGTTAGGATATGATTTCAAATGAAATCACAACATCACAGACAATAATTTATGCCTAAACATTTTCATCCACGTAACAATATTATTTCTTCATTACTTTTAGTAAGTGATACAAGCATTTTTATCGTTAATTATCCGCCAAAACAAACACACCATTGGAGTAATGACACGTAGCTATAAAATAGTTAGTCTCTACTTGATGTGCTCGGATTGAGAAAGCAACCAAAAAAGGATTGTAGCCAATATGAAACCGCTCGCGTTCAATGTGATCTCTTACTTCACGCTTTCGAACAAGCTTGTTGTACAAGAGGCAGGCCTACCTTCAAATCGTACCATGGAAAGCACTACTTCCTATTAAGGAACTTAAAAAAGACCAAATCAAAGTAAACTCCGACGGTGCAATTGTCGATGAAAACTCGATCGGCGAACATGCCAAAGAGAAGTCGACGAAAATCGAGGGACTCACGCCAAGGCAATTCTCCAGGCGTTCTTCAATTTTCACATTCTCCACATCTTCCCCCGTATCCTTGGCTTCAACAGCCACTTGATCTTCAAGGTTTCCATTTGATTGCCCTTTGAACAATCTTAATCTCATGCATGCACATAGACTTCATAGGTCGAATGGATTAAACCTTGAAGGCACACTAGGTGTTACGGTGCTTTGCTCTCTTTTTTTCACCGTTTCGACACGCGTGATTACAGCTTTACCCACTTACAAATGCTTGCAAATCTTTCCTTCTTATAACTAATTTCACAAGTCGCGTAGCAATTATCTGTCACTCAATGTCACTTCGCTCCGTCGCAAGCAACCATAGGCCAAGAAGATGGTCAAGAAAGTAAGTCGAGCTTTCCCTAAGTAGGTCGAGTTTTACTAAGTTGAGCTCAAAAAGCCGAGTCTATTTCCCTCGCGATTTTGCGAGCATCGTTGAATAACGGACCTCGACTTCGACCCCGCGATAAGGTCACATGGTAAAAGTGGACACAAATAACTCACATGCCGATTAAAAGCATGTGGTAAAAATGGGTACCGACAGTAATTAATTATTACTATTTGCAAATATATTAATAATGTCATGATACGATAGTTGCCCAAACGTACCTACTTCAAGGGACATTATCTTTTTTTTTTGGTAACCGAGGTGTCCGGGCCAGCTTGCGCGTACCTCGACTATTCCTCGGGGGAGACTAGCACAGCAACCCACCGCCATGGCCCCCCACTTAAATCACAAGTGCTCAGCTGGGGAATCGAACTTGGGACCAGTGCGCCTAACTACACAATCCCAAGTACGCCCTAACCAACTGAGCTACCCATGGGTGGGTAAGGGACATTATCTTTACTCTTTACTTTCACTGAAAAAATATGTTCAAGCTCCATCCATAACTAGATACATATAAGATTTTATCAATGCATGCTGCCTTTAGGCTATTCATTAAGTAACCGGATATGGGTTTTTTTTTTGTCCAATTTTCAAGGAATACCTATTGATGCATCGAAAAATAAGAAAATTTCTATGTGAGCATGTTTGCCAAGTATTCATCGAGATAATTGTTGAAATGATCCTACGAATAAATCTTTTGGCTATTTCTCTAGATATATCATCCATTCCGTGGGCTCCGGCGAAGGATCTCATGTGATGCATGTGAACGCAACGGTTTACGTAAATTTGTAAGTACGGGTCAAGCTAAAAATTGAATAGTTTTAATGTTAGCGGAGATAGGATGTAAAAAGAAGAAACAAGGATTCAACGAATAAGCAAAGGCATCAAGAATCTCCTTGATTAAGTTGTCTATAACTGTTGGAGTCAACGAACGATAACTCTAGACAAATAGACGCGCCTTAAATAAAGAACAAGATGGAAAACGACAAGAGCAACATAAACGACACGCACATGAACATTGGTTTAGACAATTGAAACGTTACAAAACCCTGAGTAACTCCAAAAAAAGAAAAACCAGGATTACCGATGATTCGTGAAAGAGAGCGACGAATTTGTGTACGCTCAAATTTGCACGATTGTGCACGATTGTTGCCCAGGTAGTAAAACGACAGGTTAGCCATAACAAAAAGGACAAATGCAGACCAAAGAAATATTTTGAATTACTTAAACAGATCAAGTTGCATATCTTGCCCATAGCAAAATATCAAAATTGCATTGTTTCCATTCTATAAACAAACAGTAAGAAGCTTTTAAGATTGTTTATGCATTCATGGAAGAAAGGTTCATATGCTAATCGTAGGAGAAAGCCTATTGGGCACAACCATTATAAATAGTCAGGACCTGGGCCTATCAATGTACAAAGTAGGGTTGGGAAAAAAAGAATTAAGGTATATCACAGTATGGATACTCCTTCAAGAGTTGCAATTATGCTAATGTTGTCCCTCTTAATGTTCAATGTTGTCAAAGGTGCCCCGCGCGCCGGCATAGTTAATTGGGCTTGTAATATTGATTCCTATTCGGGGGGCAATCCTTATGCAAACAGCATGGCTTATGTCCTTGAGGACATGGTGACCGTGACACCGAATCATGCGAACTATGACTACTCCATCGTGTCTCCTTATCCCACAGCGGCTGCCTATGGTCACGCCGCCTGTAGCCAAGCGCTTTCTTACAGCGATTGTGGCATATGCATTAGCTCTGTTAAATCCCAAATACTGGCGATCTGTCCAAACAGTCTAGGCGCTCAAATGGAGCTTGAAGATTGTAGAATGAGGTATGAAAACTACTCCTTCACTGGTTAAGTAGTTTGGCACCAAACATAGAGAACCTTGTTCGAATGGTAACAGCACTGAGATGTGCATTGCTTAAGTGTGGTGAAGAATAAATGCTTTAGTCATGTATCCTAATTTCTATGACGTGGTTGTTTCTGCCGTACGTGTTGTCATGTGTTTATTGAGGGAAATGACATTATATGTGTTTCCTGTACTTTCTATGTTATTTTAAAGTTCTCGAATTGATATTTTATGACGAGAAAACCTAAGTAAATAGCTAAAAGCTAATGACTAGTATGAAAAATCAAACTTGCATCGTGTATCTAACCCACAAGCGCCTCATTGGCTTTGTTCCTATGACACCTGAGCGAGTCTTCAAGAGACACCAGCTGGAGACGCAAATAAGAGGACTTGCAAGATAGTGCAAAACCAAAAGCCTAAATCAATAGAAGGAAACGCTGCCTACAGGCTAAAAGAAATGGTTATAAACTTGCTAAAGCCACCTGTGAATCGACCATATATGCTGACCTCGAAGCACAACTCCGAATTGAAATTCGGAAAGAAATAACCATGACATTGTCCCCGGTATATGCATAAAAATCGCTACTCGAAATCATTAAGGAGGTCGAGAACATATTTACAGCATACAAGACAGATGCAAAGCGAGGATTCAGTCATTTCGATGCCAAGAAAATATTTCAAAGAAGCCAAATCAGCAAAACAGAAACTATGTCAAGTCAGTTACTGTTCATACAATATAAGTGTCGTCAACATAAACCAAAATAAGTACAGAGGATGAGATAATGCATGAAACACAAAATGGAATTATCAGCATAAGATTGAACCAAACCAGCATCTAATAATGCAGCAGGGGATACTTCAGAAACCAATTTTCTCTTAAGATTTTAAGTTCCATCGTAGAAGTAGCTTTGCTTCAGTTGCTAAGCCCATGAAGCTGCTTTTTTTAATCAGGAAACGGACAAAAGAGACAGCTGAGGAGTTGATCCTCTTGTGATATATGCAGAACTTCAATTTGATCCTTTTGCTTGACAGGTTGTTTTTTCTGGGTTCAATTGATTGTGTCTGCCATGGTATCCACACATGAACTTAGCTCAGACTTGTCTCCAAAACGCTTGCATGCTACTATGATTGTGTCAGCAAACCAAGAGTAGATGGCGTGATGAGAGGCAGACTGTCCAGGCAAATCCTCCGGTCGTAAGTGAGACACTTAAAAACAAACACCTGAGTCAGTAACTGAAACAGATAAAAATGGCAAGGAATGTACCTCCGCTGAGAGCCAACCCTATTAATCGGGAAAGTAATTCAATCGATGAAGTGGAAAAGACGATGGGAATTTACATCATCTGGGCCCGACTACAGTGAGGTTGATTGGCATTTGCTCAAGACGTCTACAATTGGGAATGTCTAGCAATGGCGTTCATGTTTACCCATCATCAGATGCTTTTTGGAAATCCGACGCAGTGCAAAGGAGAAGATACTTCGAGTAGTTTTCATGCGCTTGCAGCCATGTTCCTTAGTCAGCAACCCATCCCTCAAACTTCGCTGTTGTTTTCATGTAAGAAGCACAGCAAATAACCCAAATATGTAATCGACCTGTGGTGATAATCCGAGCACCCAGCTCGACTCAAATATCCTCCATTACCGATTCAAATACCATCCACTTCAAGGTATGCATCTTCTTTGAAGCATCTATGGTAAATAGGACACTGAATGGATCAGATTGTGCTAAAAACAGAGTATAACAGAAAACTAGGCTCTCTCTCTCTCTCAAAGCACATATACAACAGGCTAATCAGGATTTATGACATAATTTACTTCATTACACAAAAAAGTCATTGCTATTAAAATCTATTTAATTCAAAATCATCCTCAGACCGCTTGATCATTTGTATGAATATCACCTATTTGTTTGAAAAACATTAGGCACCAGACGCACTAATCGACCAGTACGTACACCGGTTAAATACAGAGATTTCGTACTGAACCTAGGTATACGAGGATCAAAATCCACCTTCCACCCCTCCAAATATTTGCCTTCTTGAGCGGTTCGATTCAGTCAACTGTCTCCCAGATTTAAAACAACTTCATTAATGGGACATGGAACTCAATGAGATGATGTTTGGAAGAAACTTGTCGTTAATCTGATTTACTCTTCATCGCATTTCAGATGAAAGAGTGGACAGATCTCAGAGACAATGGACATCTCTCCTAGAAAAGGAAGAAATTCCATTTGTCACGAGATATTTAACCCACAACTCCATAGTTGCTACATCTGCAGAAAAAACCCTTTCAACCATTTCACCGACATGTTGCGCTGCTCTTGTATTTTCGTTATTTCTAAGTAGTCCTTGGATTATTGTGTTATGATTGACCCCATTTGGAAAGCATCCATTTCCTCCCATCTCCTCAAGGAGCTGATATGCTTCCTCCATGCGTCCTCCTTTGCACAACCCACGGATGACAATGTTATACGTCCACACGTCACTTTGCAAGCCTCGGGCATGCAAACAATAAAACGGCCCCTTTGCATCGTCGAGCTTTCCGGCATTACACATGCCATTTATTAGAATATTGTAAGCCACAATGTCCGGGATGAATTTGGAATCTTCCATCTTTTAAAGCAATATCAAGGCCTTGCCAATCTGTTGCGTTTTACACAAGCCATCCAGTAAAGCAGTCAAGGTATAATGATCTAGAGATAGATTGCGAGACTACATCTCGTTAATTAGCTCCTCCGCAGCTTGAAGGTTCCCAACCTGGCAAAATCCGTTTATGAGAGTGCTGTATGTGATGACATCAGGAATCAGGCCGCTTTGAAGCATTTCTCTCAAAAGCATCTTTGATTTGTCAACTCTTCTCCCTTTGCAGTATCCGTTAATCAACGTGCTATAACTAACAACATCAGGTGAGCAACCTCTTTCAACCCTCAAATTAAGCACTTCTATAGCATCCTTCATTCTAGTCTGCAAACAATAACCATTCACCAATGTATTATAAGTGAAACTATTAAGCATTTCACCTAGTTGAATCATCTGGTCAACTATGGCCTCTGCCTCTACAAGCATTCCCTCTTTACAATGTGCATCCACCAGAATATTGAAGGTTCGAACATCCGGCATTACTCTGCTTTGCACCATATAGTTCAGCAGTCTTCGAGCCTCTTTCAATTGGCCAGAATTGCACACTCCTTGAATGACAGAGGTATAAGTATTGATGTTCGGTTCAATTCCTGCCTTCATTATCTTCTCCAACAAGACCGTACCATCTTTCCATTGGCCTACGTTGCATAAGCAACGAACCAATGAGCTATAAGTCAATATGTCGGGTTGGATGCCTCCACTCGTCGCCTCTTTCAACAATATGAGAGCATCTTCCAGCTGGCCTATATTGCACAGACCTTGGATCAAGGAGGCATAAGTAACAACATCTGGTAGGACACCTTTTCTACTCAAACTTTCGTGGAGTCTCAACGCCTCTGTGATCAATCCCTTCTTGCAAAGACTATCAATTATTTTGCCGTATGTGAAGGAATTAAGCCTGCAACCTCTGTCTTCCCAGTCCCTTATCAATTCAATCACCAATCTGGTATTACCCGCCCTGCATAACCCCTTCACGATTATTACAAACGTGGTCTCATCAGGTGCGGGGCCTTTTTCCTCGCAAGTCATCAAGGAACCTCAACGCTTGATCAGTTTTTCCCTGTCTAAAGAGACCATCAATCAGGGTGTTCGATGTCACCACATTGATGCGAAACCCAAGCTTCAAGATTCTACCCAGGATAGACAAACCCAAATCAACCCGCTTTAACCGACAAAAGCAATTGAGGAAAATCGTCAGCAAAACACGATCATCTTCGTTCCCCAACTAAGGCAGCCGTATAATCAACCGGATCGCATTCGAGTACTGCTTCATCCTCGCTATAGCACCCAGCAGTAGACTAAAATCCCTGGTGGAAGCCAAAGGCTTAGTGTTGATCATTTTACGGAAGCAACACAAGGCATCACCGATATTTGTAAACACACCACCATTTCTGCAATTTTTCCTCACATAACTCAAGATCGTGCCAAAAAAAGAGTACAACAGAAAACTAGGATCTCTCTCTCAAAGCACATATACAACAGGCTAATCAGGATTTATGACATAATTTACTTAATCACACAGTAAAGTTTTCGCTATTAACGTCTATTCAATTCAATATCATCCTCACACTGCTTGATCATTTCTATGAATTTCACCAGCTTGAAAAACATTAGGCACCAGAAGCACTAACCAATGAGTACACGTACCAGTTAAATACAGAGATTTTGTACCAAACCTAGGTATACAAGGATCAATCCACCTACCACCCCTCCAAATATTTGCTTTCTGCAGCGGTTCAATTCAGTCAACTGTCTCCCAGATTTAAAACAACTTCATTAATGGGACATGGAACTCAATGAGATGATGTTTGGAAGAAAAGTTGACGTTAATCTGATTTGCTCTTTCATCACATTTCAGATGAAAAAGTGGACAGATCTAAGAGACAATGGAAAGTTCAACTAGAAAAGGAAGAAGCTCCATTTGTCACGAGATATTTAACCCACAACTCCATCGTCACTACATTTGCAGAAAAACCCCTTTCAACCATTTCACCAACAAGTTGCGCTGCTCTAGTACTTTCGTTATTTCTAAGTAGTCCTTGGATTATTGTGTTATAATTGACCCCATTTGGAAAACATCCATTTCCTTCCATCTCCCTTAGCAGCTGATACGCTTCCTCCGTGCGTCCTCCTTTGCACAACCCATGCATGAGAATGTTATACGTGCACACGTCAGGTTGCAAGCCTCGAGCATGCAAACAATCAAACAACTCTTTTGCATCGTCGAGCTTTCCGGCATTACACATGCCATTTATTAGAATATTGTAAGTCACAATATTTGGGACGAATTTGGAATCTTCCATCTTTCGAAGCAATATCATGGCCTTGTCAATCTGCAGCATTTTACACAAGCCATCCAGGAAAGCACTCAAGGTATAATGATCTAGAGAAAGATCGCGAGATTGCATCTCCTTAATTAGCTCCTCCGCGGCTTCAAGGTTCCCAACCTGGCAAAATCCGTTTACTAGAGTGTTGTATGTGATGACGCTAGGATTCAAGCCCCTTCGAAGCATTTCTCGCAAAAGCATCTTTGACTTGTCAACTCTTCTCGCTTTGCAGTATCCGTTAATCAACGTGCTATAACTAACAACATCAGGTGGGCAGCCTCTTTCAACCATCAAATTAAGCACTTCCATAGCATCATTCATTCGATTTTGCAGACAATAACCATTCATCAATGTATTATAAGTGAAACTATCAGGCATTTTACCTAATTGAATCATCTGGTCAACTATAGCCTCTGCCTCTACAAGCATTCCTTCTTTACTATGTGCATCCACCAGAATATTGAAGGTTTGAACATGCGGCATCACTCTGCTTTGCACCATATGACTCAGCAGTCTTCGAGCCTCTTCCAATTGGCCAGAATTGCACACTCCTTGAATGACGGAGGTATAAGTAACGACGTCCGGTTCGATTCCTGCCTTCATCATCTTCTCTAACAACACAATAGCATCTTTCCATTGGCCTAGGTTGCATAAGCAATGAATCAAGGAGCTATAAGTGAGTAAGTTGGGTTGGATGCCTCCGCTCGTCATCTCTTTCAACAATACGAGAGCATCTTCCATCTGGCCTACATTGCACAGACCATGGATCAAGGAGTTAAAAGTAACAACATCTGGTCGGATACCTTTCTTACTCATACTGCCGTGGAGTCGCAACGCCTCTGTGATCAATCCCTCCTTGCAAAGACTATCAATTAGTATGTTGTATGTGAAGGAATGAAGCCCGCAGCTTCTCTCTTCCCAGTCCCTCAGCAATTCCATCGCCTGTCTGGTTCTACCCGCCCTGCATAACCCCTTCGCGATTATCGCATACGTGGTCTCATCGGGTGCGGGGCCTTTTCGCCCCATATCATCGAGGAACCTCAGCGCTTGATCATTTTTGCCCTGTATAAAGAGACCATCAATTAGGGTATTCGATGCCACCACATCGATGGGAAACCCAAGCTTCAAGATCCTACCCAGGATAGACAAGCCCAAATCAACCCGATGTAACCGACAAAAGCAATTCAACGAAATATTCAGCCAAATATGATCATCTTCAATCCCAAACGAATGCAGCCGCTCGATCAACCGGATGGCAGTCGAGTACTGCTTCATCCTCGCTACGGCACCCAACAGAAGACCGAAATCCCTGGGGGAAGGCAAAGGGTCGGTGTTGATCATTTTATCGAAGCAACGGAGGGCATCGCCCACACTCGTGAACCCACCACCACCTTTAGCTCTGCAATTTGTCCTCACGTAACTCAAGACCTGGTTCGGGTCGTCTAAGTTAAGGGTAGGGATCGAACAGAACCTCCGACGACGGCGTCGAGACGAGAATGGGAGATAAGAAGGAAGATGGAAGATGGAAGCACGAAAGATACTCCTGCGCTTCATCAGCTGACGACGATGACGATGACGATGACGATGATGAAAACTGATGAGCTTTCTGCTTTGGTCTCTCTCTCTCTCTCTCTCTCTCTCTCTCTCTCTCTACCAAGGCGACTCCCAACTCCGACGAGCTCAAATCTCAAAAGTATTAAGTTTTAATCAGAGTCGAATTTGGAAGTCCAACTCCATTTCCAATTGTATAATTAAAATTTCTTTTTTTTTAAATCTGTAACCTTCGTGTTTTTATATAAAATAAGTGCACTAAAAGTCCTAAAATTTATCACGAAAGTGTAATTTTATTGCTAAAACTTTCAAAAAGTGCAATTAAGTTCTAAAACTTATCAGAAAAGTTCAATCGAGTCCTAAAACTTTCAAAAAAATACAATCAATTCCTAAAAATTGTCAAATGGATTCTATCAAATCCTTTCTTTTAATACATTTTTTTGACAATTTTAGAGCCTAGTTACACTTTCGTAACAAGTTTTAGTACTCGATTGCACTTTTTGAAAGTTTTAGGACTCGTTTGCATTTTCGTAACAAGTTTTAGAACTCAATTACACTTTTTAAAAGTTTTAGAACTCAATTGTACTTTCGCGATGAGTTTTAAAACTTCCAGTACACTTATCCCTTTTTTAACTAATGGATACAAAAATATAACGGTGATATGTAAAATTTTGAACAGGGATAATGTTACTGATAAACTGTAAACTTTCGCCTAATGTGAATCCACGAAGTTACGATTATACTTACGATTGATGTATAAGGACTATGAACTTTTGCATCAAGCAATATTGGAATTCACCATACATGGCTACAATCTAAACACACTAAAGTTGAATGGAAATAACTTTTGTACATTCCGCACATTCTTGGAATTGCTAAAAATTACGTGTTCATCTCCCACTACTTACTTAAAACAAACAAAGTTTTTTTTACTCGATCAATTCAAGCAGACATTCACGTTCACTTAACTCTATCCAACGGTGATTTTAAGTTATCTAGCAAAATTTGTACGAAGACTAGAAGAATGAGGAAAACCGTTGGTAACAAGCATGGATTCTTTAATTTCGCCCATTTATTCTCAACTTAACGCCATCCAATCATAAGTTTAAGAAAGAAGATGAAATTATATCTATAGAAAAAGAACGGCATCGGTGTCACAAGTTTTATACGGCGCCCATTTTGATGTTAAAACTTTTCGTACGATTATTTAAGTGCCATAGCTTTTAAGAAGCAATCACTTAAGTGGCCCGGCTGGCTTAGTTTGCAAGAAGATCAAATGGATTTCCTAGACTCACTTAAATGGATGTTTTTTAAAAGTTTGGGCATAATATCTATCATTTATAAAAAAACTTTGCTCTGAAATTTTTGATGTTATAAATTTGACAAAACGATGACATGAGCCAAAAGAAAAAAATCACAAAGCAAATATTCCAACTTTATCGCTATTTTTCTTTATTTTGTTAGGCTTAAAAGCAAAACCATTGAGCAAACATTATCTTGAATAATTTGATTTAAAATCACAAAGATGTATTTGTTTTCCTCCAGAAAAAAAATAAATAAGGGAAGTACCTGAGCAAGGAACCTTACGGAAGCAGACTACTTCTCTTTAATCAATTGCGAGAATCAATATAAGAGTTTGAGAACTAATTTAACCCCAACATGTCAATGTGTGAAAAATCAAGGGTTAATACCACGAAAAACCTCAAACTGGTACATCTGTGACAAGGTTACCCCAAAATAATTTTTTGACCACCAAAAACCCCAAAACCGGTACACCTATGACAAATTTACCTTCCGTTAATTTCCGTTAAATTTTACCTTCAAATTTCTTTGTTAAATGACATGCGACAATTGACGAATGTACCAGTTTTGGGTTTTATCATCCGTTTATCACAGGTGTATCAGTCTATGATTTTTTTATGATATTAATTCAATTTAACGCAAACTAACAGAGGGTAAATTTATCACAAATGTACTAGTTTGGAATTTTTTGTGGTCAAAAAATTAGTTTGGGATAAAATTGTCATATGTATATCAGTTTGGGATTTTTGATGGTCAAAAAATTAGTTTGGAGTAAATTTGTCACAGGTATACCAGTTTGGAGATCTTCGTGGTATTAAAATGCATTAAACGATGTTGTTCAGTACATAA